CGTCCCGCCTCCGTTGCGGCGGCAGTCGAGCTACTCCGCCGGAACCGGCCAGAGTTCGTTGCCCCAGCGGCCTTTGGCGCAGATCAAGCCGACCGGGTGAACACACCATGTCCTGCCCCGGTCGACGAGAAAGAAAACATACCCATCGGCCAAGACCAGGCCCCCGGCCCCTCCACCGAGCGCGCACCGGCCCCTCCAGAACAAGCTCCCCATTTAACAGCTGCGGCCCCATCCGCGTCCACCGGCACCAGCGACGCGGAGATGGACGAACTCGAGGAGTACTTCAAAAAAACCCATCCACACCAGTCGTCCAGAGCCCTCGGGGAGCCGAAGCTTGAGGGGAGGGGAGTGTGGGGGACAGTGAGCGGACTGCGTGTAGAAGACGGCGCCAGGTGGAAGAAGAAGAGGGGACGCTCGTAGTGGGTGCGCGAGGACAGGAGTTCGAAGGGCCGTGACAAACGAAAGAGGCGGTGCGGAACGAGCCCAGGGAAGACCCGGACCACAAGGCAGCCTTGGCCCCCGCAGCATAACTTGAGTATCTATAAAGTGTTTGTCTATGATAGCGCTCCTTGTGTGACTTCCTCGGAGCGAGTAGAACTTGGCCTGATCGGGAATTGACAGGCGACCCACAAACCAGAGACCGTGTGCCTATTACCCCGCTAGTAAGACCAGATGTTCCATTCCAGACAGTTGTAATCAATTGTATTGGACCGTTAGACCCGGCGTCGTCGAGGGGGCACAAATATGCCTTGTGTCTGGTTGATGTGTGCACCAGATGGCCAGAAGTGGTTTGTATCAGATCGCTAACGGCGAAGGCAGTGTGTGACGCGCTGGTTGAAATAATTGCGCGAATAGGAGTGCCAGAAACAGTCTCGTCTGATCAGGGCACAAACTTCACGACCGAGCTCACACAGGAGTTGCTGCGTAGGTTGGGGTCGTCACCCAGGTTCTCTACACCAGAACACCCAGAGAGCAATGGGCTAGTTGAGCGATGGAATGGTACGCTGAAGCGGATGTTGAGGCAAGTGACAGCGGAACATGGGCGGGGCTGGGATCGCCTAGTTCCTTGTCTACTTTGGGCCTACCGCGAAGTCCCGAATGAAACTACGGGGATGTCGCCATTTGAACTCATGTATGGACGTGCGCCGAATGGTCCAATGTCCATCCTAAAAAAATCGTGGACTGGTGACTGGACGCCCCCGTCCACGCTCGTTGAGTCGGCGGACAAATATCTGGTTAGATTAAGAAAACAAATGGCCGACATGACGCGAGTAGTAAAGGAACAGGCAGAGCACAAACAGAGGTCGTACGCCACGCGTTACCATCTCCGTGCGAAAGAGAAGGCGTTTTGTAGGGGCGATCTAGTGCTACTAAGGGACACGAGTGGTAAAAAGATGAACTTTCCTTGGTTGGGACCAGCGAAAATACTAGAGGTTAGGAGAAAGAACAGCTACGTAGTTGAGATGCCTGACGGTGGCCGTAAGTGGATCCACGCCAACAAACTTAGGCCATATGTGGCACGCGTTAACGCTGTTGGTGTTATCTTTGATGATCCGGACTTCGGTTCGGTGGAGGAACTCCCCACAGACGGGAGGGGAGCAGGTGAACCTGAATCACAGAAAACCGCGGAGGAAAAAGAGATGTACAGCATGGTACAGCAGTTCGTACATGTCTTCTCTAGGCACCCAGGAAAGTGTGCAAAAGGACTGCACAAGATAAGACTTGTTGAAGGTTCGCGACAAAAGAAGAGATATGCTTATAGGGTGCCGATAAAAATGAGAGCTGAGGTTGAAAGGCAGATAGAACAGCTTCTAGAATGGGGTATGATCTATCCAGTTGAATCAGAGTTTGCTCATCCGGTAGTGTGTGTAGCGAAGAAGGATGGGAGTGTGAGATTGTGCATCGATTATAGGCAATTAAACGCGATCACTGAAGCCGATGCCTTTCCAATGAATAATGCTACCGAAATGATCTGGATGGTCGCGAAGGCGTCGTACATAACAGTACTGGACCTAACCCGTGGGTATTGGCAAATACCAGTCGAAGAACGGTCTCAGAAGGTCGCGGCATTCGTAACCAATCGTGGGGAGTACGCATGGAAAGTTATGCCCTATGGGTTGAAAAATTCAGCGGCAACTTTTCAGCGCGTGATGAATGAAGTGTTGCGACCACACAGAGAATATGCAGGCGCATATATCGATGACATTGCAATATATTCTTCTAAGTGGGAAGACCACCTTTTGCATGTAAAAAGCGTTCTCGAAACCTTAAGTAGCGTGGGGCCTACGGTGAAGCTGTCCAAATGCAGGTTTGCCCAGGGAATGGTCATGTACCTCGGCCACCAGATCGGCTCTGGGAGGCATGCTCCTGACCCCGTTCGTATCAAGGCGATTCAGATCATGGAGAGGCCAAAGACGAAGAAAGAACTGAAGAGCTTTTTAGGGCTAATGAACTACTATAGCCAACCGGCAACGGCCAGGCGGCGCCAGCAGCGTGACAGCGCACAGTTATACCCTGTCTCGTTGTAACTTGGCAAAGGGTGAACGATAAGCCCCATATTGCCTGCCGAAGGCTTCGAAATGCGCGACGTATACGAGCGCAACGCACACATATTGGAGCATGACGCAGCGAAAAGCCTGATGCTTCTCCGCAGTTTAGGCGCGCTCCGGTGATACGCAGTCACGTTTCGATTGGCCCGCCAGGGCCGTAGCTTCCGCTCTACTGGCACGTTTCGCGATCACGGCTTCCTTGGATACCCAGTATTTCTTGCTTCAGACACTAGGCTAAGGGGCGCCACCGGAGTAAGCGCTCACGTTTGAACAATGCAGCCGCCACTCCCATGGGTACCCAATATTTCTTGCTTCAGTCGCTAGATGGCGCCAAACCAAACAGCATTGCAGGTTGCCTATAGAGACTACGTTGCGAACTATGCTGAAGTGGTGTTGCCGTTGACCGCGCGAACTGGAGACAGGACTCCGAACGTGTTACCGTGGAGTGACAAGGAGGAACAAACGTTTCAAAAGGCAAAGTGTCTCCTGATGGAAGTCCCAGTCATGAGAGCGCCAGATGCCAGCCAGCCTTTTGTTCTGTCCACCGACGCATCGGATAGAGCTATAGGGGCATGTCTTGCCCAAAGGGCAGGTGATGGGAAAGAGTACCCGGTGGCGTTTCTCAGTAAAAAACTAACTGATCCCCAAACCCGGTGGGCTGTAATCGAACGTGAAGCTTACGCGGTTGTGTGGGCCTTAAGTCAGTTGGAAACGTGGCTATTTGGGGCGGAGGTCGAAATTCGCACCGACCATAACCCTTTGCAGTATTTGGCGTCAGCAGCACGAAATAGTGCGAGGCTGACTCGTTGGGTGCTAGCGTTGCAAAAATTTTACCTGAATGTCCGGTACGTAAAAGGGACGAGAAATGTCCCTGCTGATGCGTTGTCAAGGCTGTAGCCGGGTGGACTTTTGTTTGTGGTTAATGTACTTTAGATGTTCTCAAGAAGTTTGTCAGTCTTTCTAGTGATCATTCACGTCGAATGGACGGGAATGTGCGCGCAGTTCGTTTTCTTTTGTTCTAAATGCTACGATTGTAAAGGAATACACAAACTGTGATTTTTTAATTGAAAAAAAAAAGGGGGGGGGGGGCGTGTCATGCATGTGGCATGCATGTGGCATGCATGAGGCAGCGGATTCAGCGCGCGCCGTCGCCGACGGGGTATCGGGCTTTGTGATTGTTATATTTTTGTTACCCGTGGTGTGCGCTGATTGGTGCGACGAGAAAAAGACGAAGTGACGACGGAAGGACCGAGGCTGGGGACGGTGCGCGAGGAGAAAAAAGGAACGCGGTGGGCTGGAGCTGGTGCAAGCACGACTTCGAACCGGAATAAAACGCTTTCCCCCCAAAAGGCTGGCTCCCTGCCTTCCCGGGTCCCACGGAGCCCATACCACAAGCCGTGACTGATATGGACCATAGAGACTGCATAAAAGGGGGAATAGGAGCGGTTCAAACTTATCTATAACATCGTTTACTACTCCAACATGCGCGTCCGCGGAGTAGTTTCGTGAAATAGGATACGATGAATACAAGCTTCCCAGCGACCTGCTCTAAAGAGTTCGTTCATTTTAAGGTATGGTCTTTCATCGAAGCTACACTCGCGTGCAACTTTTGTCGTGGGGCAAAATAGTATTGCCAATATCAATGGTACCAATGTTAAAACCTGCAGAGTATAATATGCTACAAGCGCGTTTTATTTTTAATTATTTTTTTATGTAAAACACGTTTAAACCCAGATATTTTTTTTTATTTTAAACAGAAAAACACTGCGAAGTGATCCTTCGAATTTCGGCGAATCAGAAATCAAACGATAATAAACTCCGATAAACCCCGAACTTTCTAGAAAAAAATTAACTCTGAGAAACACCTTTCGAGTTTGACGAAAAATGAACTCCGAAAACGCGGATCTCTAGTTCTAACTTAGGATGTGACCGTGGAAATATTTTTAATATACTTCGTTTCAGATTTAGTCTGACAGCAGCAAATGCTAGGATCCGATGGAGCCACTCATGTAGCATCAAGCCTGCAACGTCACAGCAGTCGCCATCTTTGAGCGTTCTTTTTTATCACGGGCTAAACCACTCAGGCGATAGTGAATGCCTAAATGACGAGCACCATCATGACGCTGCAGTTTAGGCGCTGCTTAGTTCGCGCCACCCGATCGTTGCGTCGACTGCAGTCGAACTTAAGTGAAACGGAGTTTGCGGAGGCAAGTTCGTCTGCTTCTTTTTGCAGGGGTTGGGGTGACGTCAGAACGACGAGCTCTGATTGGTTCCGATTGAAGGATATGGAATAGACCTCAAGGCAGCTTGCTTTCAGGTGCTCGGCGGTCCTCTGAATTTAACGCAACTCCTGATCACTTGAAGCAAACGACTTGATCTCCGCATGGGGCGACGGGAACTTTGAGACGTATACTTTCCTTAAGCATTATGTATCTCGATGTTTTCACGTACCTTCTGCACATTGGCACTGGTTGTCTTCGCAAATAAGTTTCAGCAGAGGACTGGTTGAGCCTGGACCGTAGAACTGGGTGCATGAATGCACTGTGAAGCAAAGAACAAAGTATATTTGTAATTGCTTACCTTAACGCTCACCCTATTTTAAAATTGCGTCTTAATAGAGCACTCCAAGGGAAAGCTTTTTTTTAAAGGGAATAGATGGACTGGCAGATTAAAAAAAAAACAAGAATCAGTTTGCGCAATATTTACGCCGTTAGGCGCAATTTGGGTCCAGAACGTGAAGGTCCCAGCCCGCTGAGCCCCGCCCCGTGCTTGCAATGTGTTACATTTCTCATTCACTGCAGTGATGGTTCACGAGTGAAAGGTTGGTTCTAAATGTGTATCTCCGTGCCGTAATAGTATTTCAATCAATTATTGATTTTTTTTATGTTTGAGAAGCAAATGATGAAGATAGAGTAACGTTGTGTTCAAAGGTATTGTAAGATTGCTTCTTCCCGCTTTGGCTTGAAATGGTAGCAAACATAGCTGCCGGCGTATGCGGAGTGTTTTACGAGCGAAGCTAGTCCAGCCCTTTATTTTCTATGAGTGCGAGTGGTTTTCAGCTCACAGAGGTGTTAAGAGGAAGATCTCCATAACTGACGTAGTTTGCAACAAACAACTGCCGCAAGTAGGCGCCTTCAGAAGCGCTGAGCGGATGCTGGTTCCCGTAGCGGGACTGGCCTAATCCTAGTGTTCGAGATCAAAACTTTTGATTGATCTGGTTTGATTTCTTTCTTCGCGTGTGTTGGTTCTGAATAGACATGTTGGTACCCGTAAAAGCGACCCCGCTGCTCAGGGATTTGTGCAAACGTCGTGATTGAAAATATACCGACACAGGTAAGAATTTGCGAATCATTTGGCTGGAGGCAATCGGGCGTTCGGCTCGCATCAAGTTTGTCTAGGTGTGTTCCCGTCAACGAGGCTCGAAAGGCTTTCAAGTTTTGCAGTGCACTTGGCCTACCAAAGCGAATAGTTTTACGTCGCGTTTGAATTGTGCGCCCATGACGCTCATCCACCTTGCTTCAAATGCCATGCCAAAAAAATAAAAATAAAAATAACAAGCACTGTAAAGTTAGAAAGACTGTGTATTTATTTTGTTGACTTCTTTTAGTTCTCTCGGTGGCTTATTAAGCGCATCAACAGACGCTGACAGACGCTTGTATACGACCGTGGCTCGTGCATGATGGAACGCTAGGACGCCGTTTTCATGGTCGCGTCTTCCGAGCGTTGCAAAAGTTCTTAGACGGGTAAGGAATAGCGGGTGGACGGCGACGAAAACGGACCCGATGCGCAGCTTTCGTGTCATCCTCTCACGGCATTGCAGACAGCTACAGACGGCGGTGAAACTGCAGACGATGCCTGAGGCTGCCGCTCGTCTGCTCCCACGATTAGCAGGCGGTGTTAGACTTCCAGACTAAAAACACCGGATGATGCGAAACGGAGATACTACGCTTGTTAGCCTGTTCGGTCAAGCAGACAACACTTAGTAGTGGGCGGGGCCACAAATCTCTCGGCGAGGCTTAGAGCTGGCTGTGACCTCAATCCAAGGTGCGTATGACAAGGTAAATATTGTGCGAAAAGAAAAAAAAAAATACGTAGAGAACATATTTTAAAAATTTCGTGTCCCATCTCTGGCGTTTAAAAAAGGACTATTTTTTTTCCTTGCGGTGTCCCTTTAAAGGGCACATGCAAAGGGAAAAAAAATCTTTTTTTAAACAGGCTAGATAGAAAAAGAATATTATAAAACAAATTTACAACGAAGAAAAAATAATGCTGGTCCCGATGTAGGCCTGTGTGCCGCCACCGCAAAGTCACGCCGCCACCGCATGCTGAGTGTTGTGCGACGCCGCTTCAACGCGTTTCTCCACGCCGCCGTCGCCGCCGCCGCACAAGTTCGTCTGCTTCGGGGCGCCGCCGCCGCCATCTCACCACCGCACAGGTCTATAACGTCTCTTTGCGCTTTTTCAGGAGTTTCCTTTCGGCTCTAAAAGTTACTTATTCATCTAAGTTTCTTTGTTATACTTCAAACAAATATGAATAAGTTGCTTTTAGACGCCATACGAAGCTTCCGAAAGAGCGCAAGCACCACGTGACTAATTAGTACCAGTCACGTGATAAATAAGGGCCTCTTTTCCGCGGCGCCCGCGGGCGCCAACGACAAATTCGTATAGCGGCGTCAATATAGCTCTAATTTTTTTTATTCGTTGTAAAATCTTTTTACGGCATCCTTTTTCCATCTAAGCTGTTAGAAAGAAAAAAAATTGTCCTTTGCGTGTGTCCTTTAGGAATAGGGATAAAGCCCAGAGGCACAGACACTCTGCACCGTGTTTTGGAGCTAAGCTGAGTGTTTATATTTATGGTTGGGGGAGCTTGGGAGTCACGCTATTATCTGCAACGTTTAGCGGATTTTCATCTGCTAGATTTAGCCAGTGAAGGTTTACTAAAACTAGACAACGTGTTATGTTTTTTGTTGTTTTTTGTGACGGCTTTTTATATCGTTTTTTTGTGACAGCGTTCTTTCAAGGTTTTTCTCCTCGTCACGTCACACTTTCTCTAGAGATCCCAGCCTTTCAACACATTGCGAGTTAAAATTTCGTATACAACAATATAACCCTGTCATAATTATAGTAAAAAAAACGTGTATTAAAATATTTAAATTTTTTTTCAATTGTAAGAAATGGAATACAGCCTTCCGTCTCCCCAGCCAGTATTGTACGCATGAAACATCAAGAATACTGTCGACTGTGAACATGAAACCAAACTGTTTATCCCTGACAAGTTGTTGCTACCACGAGCATGAAAACAATTCCTTTCATGCGCCACCGCCCAGGCAAAGTACGGAAGGCAACCTGGGCCAAAAATCAAAAGGTACTGTTTGTTTCTCACTGATAACTATGCATAAAATATGTCAGATAGCTATATTATATAGTATTATGGGACCTAGTTTATATTAATAATTTTTTTTTAATATAACATAACGGGAAAGAATTAGAATTAAACTAGAGCGAGGACCGAAGCTAAAGAGAAAAGATCTATACTCACTTGGGTTATAGTAGTCGTAAACCTTAACGACGGCTGACTGAACATTGTGCACAACATGTTCCCGCTCAGCTCTGAATTTAACACAGGTCGGCACCTCTGCGGGGATCTAAGAAATATACGATATTATGTAATTAATGTTTCAACGAAAAGCTTTAATTCCGTAATTGTTTTGATCTCAGTAATTACGGTATAATTGTCTTACTGAATATACACAGCAAGTTACGGAACATTGCTTGGCATCAAGCAATGTGCCGCAATTTGTAACGTTTAACGTGGAAAGTGATATCTTAATTTTGTTACTTATTAGAAAATTTGGCATTTTCATATAATCTTGAAAACACCCAAATGTAGTGGACCTGTGCTACTTGAAGTGTGAGAACAAGTGGGATACAAGTTATTTCTATGATACAACCTACTCGTGAAGTAATTAGCAATAAGCAGTTTATAAAAGAGACGTGCAGTTCAACATTCACTGTTTATGCATGTCCCTTCTAATTTAAACTGCGAAATAACCACTTATCGCTAGTATGCCCTAGAAGTTTTTTTTTATAAACCACGGTACAAATCTGCAGGGTTTATATGAGATAGAAGTAAAGCGTAACAATATTATTAGGTCTTCGCCGAGTCTCACCTTGTCGAAATAGAGGATAACGTTTTTCTCAGTAATTTCATATTTGGCAAGTAATTCGTTTCTGGCTGTCTCCTGCAATGAGAATGCGATAGTTGACTCCTTTGCGAATTCAGGAAAAAACACTTGTAAAAATTCATATTATAATTGGATGATTATTTATCATTTAAAAACCTTTACTCTATGTGCCATTTAAATTGATAAGCTGATTTTACTTAAAACAGGGTTGCCTTGTGTTGAATAGAAATGGCTTACCTCTTTCAGGTCTTTTTCGACGGGCACAAAGCCACTGAAAATTCCAACCTCAATGACTGCCATGTTTGACTCGGAGCCCCCAAGATACCTAAGAACAAGAAATTTGCTAGTCAATGCATACATGACAAACGGCATTTGAACAGCAATATCTAAACTCAAGCTGGGTCACTGCATGATGGAAAAAGAAAGTTCTGGCTGCCTAAATAATAATATGTGGAATTATGTTTTGTAGAAATATATTTTTTTTTATAAATTTACGCCCCAAGGGGTTCAAGTACATTATTTTATAATATGTATTGAATGTTTTATTCCTGAAAGACGTCTCAATTAAAATTAAAATAAATGTTACCGACCTTAATTATTTTTCCAGAACATCAACGTTGTCATGGCACTTTGAATTTAAAATTATAAATATAATATGCTAGAGAGTCAGCAAATTAAAAATATATATATAGCAGTCCGTCAGTTTTCTCAAAAAGACGGGTTTCATTTTGGCATTCCACCACTACCAAACAATTTTATATGTTTCAAATCTTTAACCAATATGGGGGGTGCGACTGTGCAATTTCGCATACCGTGAGCAAACTTCAATGTCGTATAGCAACTTGCTCTTTTGTGGTGTCCTGTCCAAATTGACAGATGTGTCAGGGGTTGGATCTGTAACAGAAACAAATCTTCTTTACAAACACTGAACAGGCTTCTAAAGTTTGTCACAGTATATTTAAAAAAATGCGTGTGTGCATCTGAACAACAAGAAATACGGCAAACCGAACGGTTATCAAATAAATTTGGAGCAATGCTTTTCAAAGACATAAAATCGTACACATTACTTTCACGCTAAGTTAATTTAAATCTACTTACCTATCGATCCACGATCACGTGGATCACCGTTGAATGAACCCGCAAGTGATGACATTCTGGATTCTAAACCATTGGGAAAAACAAACACAGGTTTAACAATTCGCTCGCATATTTTTCAGTCGACCCAAGACTCACAGGAACCTGTTCCTAATGGCAGGTTCCCATAGAGAAATTCAAACCCTCTTATTTCAACCTGCAGAGATTACGCACCGCAGAGAGCTGCAGTTGCATGTGAATTTAACGGAATCTGTGGTGATAGGATGCGAAAAATTGAGGAAGGCACGTGACCCAGCTAAAGAATAAAACCGAAAAACGTTATATTTTAATGTGCCAACGACAACCTTGTCCTAATATTCAACAAACCAAAAAATACTGCCATGCGCGCGTGTGGCATTTTTTTAGATAAATTACCTTATCCGTAAACAAATAAAAATATATTGAATTACAATTATTTCACTGTAGGATTATTTCACTGTAGGAAATGCCACATGAGTCCCAGACACCGATCACTGGTTTGAAAAATATTAAGCAGAGGTTAAAGTCGGCTCATAGCAAAAGTTCGATTTTCGATTTTGTTTCTAGAAAGAAAACGTCATCTCTACTACACTTGTGCACCATCACCACAGCTAGATACAAAACTTGTGCGAGGTTCACCTCTACTTATTGTATAGGTCACTTGTTCTATCCCCGAAACAGGGTTTTTCTTTGATCTGCTGAACTCTAGTCACGAGAAGATATTATCTTATTAACCGGTACAAAAAGTAACATTCTAGCTGAGGTTTATATTGGAAAGTAAAGCAAACACTTTCAGACTCACGATATTCAAATTACTTGTTATTCTCCGTTATTACAACTAAGCTAGTTTCTTTGCAGGGTGTTTTTCTAAGCTGAACAGATTTGTCTAATGAAGACGTTTCTGCAGGGGCGTCATACGGCCAACGGGAAATAGCACAAGGAGCTAATCGTCAGTCAGTGGGCTAACAAAGCCAACTTTATTAAACATTTTTTTTAATTAGGAAAGATATAAATATGGTTTCAATTAGAAACTTGCTGAGCGTTATTGAAAAGGACTAAATAAATCATTTTAAGAATATTGCTTCCGTGTGGCATGCGTACTAGTGCGCTAAAGGTACCACTAGAGCAACATGGTAAGAAACTGAAAAATCGAGCGAGCGCGTTATCGCACTGATAGCATTGCTCCTGTGGCACGAATGGTAACTTTAGCGCACAACTGCGATTGTAACGCAGTCAAAGTCTTTATAAAAACTCCTGGATAAGTGGTATTTAATGACGCTCAGCATGTTTCTAATTGGAACCTCATGTCCATTTTTACTAATAAAACAGTTAATGAACGATTTTACCTAAACTGACTGGTCATTACGATTACCGGCCTAGACTGTGTTCTTCTGGCCGTGTAACTCACCCGCACCAACCGCACTAGTGGAGCTTTCACGGTTTTTTAAACAGATCTGTTCAGCCTAAACAAAACAATCTGTATTATTTCAGTAGTCTAATTTAGGTTAACGCTACCATTCCGAAATTCTATAAATGCATGGTAGATATATCTAAAATATGTTTGTTGCAAGGTCAGCGTTCTCCTATTGTAAACCTGTTCTTTTTTTATGTCAGATCCTGACAATGACATAAAATGTTTAGATAAGTTAATTTCATTAGATAAATATGAGACATATAATTAATTTAGAAGCGGGTTGGAAACGACATCGGTAAATAATAATATCCCTGAAAAGGGGATTACACTACTCTGACATTCATACCCTAGTGAAACTTACAAATGAAGAGAACTACTTTCAGTGGCGCAACTCTAAAAATGGCATGCTCTCAAGGGCACAAATTTGACACATTTTTATGTGACACAAATATGTATCGATATTTTGTTTTCTTTTTAAATGAACCGTACCTCTTGCTCCGAAAAACCAGGGTGATCGCCGCTCTGAAACGTAAGCAGAGGTTTCACTTAATTTAATCATAAAGCCATCTGCAAGTTCTCACATTTAAAACAGAGGCGGGTCAACACTACTTCTAGAGCTTACACGAAATCCGCTGACAGCGAAAATTCAGAGCTACAGGAAAGTGCATCTGGCACTCCTTGAGCCCATTATACAAAAACGGAGCATCTCTATTGCTGCGACTTCATTTAATTTACGGTATGGTAAACTTGATGATTACTTTAGAAACTACTGTAACATACACTCCTCGTGCTCTGCTGGCTGTAATTATATCCTACTCCTGACAGTTTAGTTATATTGGATTGCACACTTTGTATCGACTTTTTTCCAGTGGCAAACGATCAAACTCTAGTTCTGCTAACTGTCCGATTCTGTTTTTGTTTTAGTGGGTAATTTCGAAAAAAAAATACATTACTGGATGAAAAAAAAAAAAGATTTATGAAATTTACAACACTAAACAGTTCATTGAATACCAACTTACAGTTCAGCTACAGTAGCTGCTCATTAATAATTAAGAAATTTTGCATATGTCAAATTAATATTTATTTTGCTCCAACGTTCAAACCCTTGAAAAAAAATTCAATATTGTGCGAAAAAGCTCTTATGATATTTTTGTATAACATGCTGATGCCGTACACGCTGGAACTATTTAAAAAAAAACTTTGTAATATTAATCAAAAATAAGTATAACTAAAAATTGGGACATCCAACCAATTGTTAGTCGGAAATCCTACGTTTCGATATATTCTCGGCTCCTTTTTAATGTGTCTGCCGATGACCGATGAGAAGTGTTTTCGTTGCCGTCTTCTTTTATGGTGGTGCATTTCATTTTTCAGTTGGTGATGCTTCGAAGCCTATAGACATAGCCAGAGTATAAAGCGGTCATATACCAATATATGTATTCTAGAGTAGTTTGCATGCACCACAACTCAAAGAAAATTCGCTGTAGGTGGCTGGTTTTAAGAGGTGACTGTTTCTTTGTTCTAAAAACATCTAAAATGAATACGTTCTTACGCGCCTCAACTTCATTCAGCCAGCCATTCAATTTACTGTAGAACGCGGAAAGCAAAACACCTTAACTTTCCCCGATGTGCTGATAAAGATACAAAAAGAAGAGCCGACATCCTTTGTATGGAGAAAGCCGACGCACGCCGGGTGCCACCTTCAGTTGGGCTCCAACAATCCTACCAGTCAAAAGCGTCAATATTCTGAACGCTCTTGTCCACATCAAACACTATTTGCTCGAATGAGGCTGACAAAAGAAAATATAAAACCGTCTTTCTTATAAACTCAATAAGAACGGGCACACGAAAGGTTCTATCCACCTCACTGCCCGTCGTAAGAACAAAAACCATGAGCACTTACAGCCACCGGCAAAGGACGCAGTCCCAGTCAACCACGCGCATCATCGTTACCTATATACCAGGAACAAACGAAGCGCTGACACGTCTACTAGCTAGAGAGGCGATTCAAATGGCCAACAAGCCAATATCAACACTGTGACGGCTTATGCCACGAGCAAATAGATCGCCCCGTGAGAAAGAGCGCGAGGATTCGTTTGTAGGATTCCATGCACGGATGGTCCAGCCGCATAGACGGCGAAACCAACAGCTTTCGGGAGAGGGACCGCCAACAGCAGAACGGCGTTCGCAAGTTCGACCACAGTGCAACGCGGTTGCTGGACACTGCGACGCCGAAGACAATTCCGTTGACCTTAAGAACAGCCGCATTCTCGTCGTTGAAACCAACCACCGACAGCGACTTTCCTCGGAGTCGTGTGAAATACAAACTACGCCTGAAAACATAGATATGACTCCCGGCAGTTAACCAGCCTCGCACGTCCACGGACATAGAAACGTCACCAACTCAAAAATCAAAGCACCGTAAAATGTGACGAAAGCGGAAGCACTGCTCCTCAGCGGCCATCGCCACATTCACCCCGAAAATGAGCCGAGTAGGCATCGAAACTTAAGATTCCCAATTATGAGTTGCTTGGACGTTCCCTTTTTTTTATTATTTCACCCCACAGACTGATGTCCGTCTCATGTCATCATTCAAGCTAATAATGTAGACTTAAAAAAAATGTATAGAGAACCGGCACCATACTCACTCCTATTCGGCTCTGGACCAAGCAGTTCATCAAGAAGGTCTGGTGGAAAATCTAGGCTCTTAACACTCTTTTTTCTTTCGATATGTACTTCGGCTTTGACTGTTATATTGAACTGAAAAAAAGTGAAGGAACAACGTTGAATAGCATGCAAAAATGCACTAGGGCTACTGCATTAAAATTAAGAAATACACGCAATTTCTAACATTTTAAGGTAGGGTCGAGGTCAGACTACAGCGCGTTCACTTTTTCTTCAAATTTATGTTAAAACATCATAACCTTTATTGATACGGCATAAATACTTCAAATTTTGGCGTAAAAATGGCGGATATACTAGATAAACATTTTTCTAAGAGCTAACATTTTAAATTTTGTCTTTCTTTCAGATACTGTGGTGTAACACAAATTTAAGGAAAGTTGATGCATCGAGTAGTTTAGCCGTAATGATTGTAAATGTTTAAGGTATCCTTCATTTTCTTTTAAACCCCCAGAGACAATTTAAAAAAAAAGAACGTAAATGAACTTCTTTAATCTATAACCCTGTGCTAAGTTCACATGTATACATATATATTTATTTTATTCTAACATGTTCAGAGGGATTAGCTTGCACGCTTAGAGCTAACTGTCGTTTTTCACGCGTTTTTTATTTTTTTGCTGTCGAGTTATCCTTTAAAATAAAACGCGTCACTTTGTAGACTTTGTGACCTATTCGGGAACAACAGAAACCTCGGATTTCACACGTGACCTTCTTCATTTGTGGCGAGTCAAAAAAAGGCAGAGCTATGTTCCATTTCTTTTGTTTTATTTTTCGATCACGGAATAGAAATTAGGTGGTACGCGAAAATTAAATACAAATACTGAGCTCGCTGCACGTTAGACGTTTCTATGAATACATTTTGATGCAAATATAGTGCTTGGGTTCTTCAAAAAATATTCAATGACAATTCATATTATAAACAATTGCCTACCTTACACAAAGCTTCGGGAGGAACTAAGACATTGTACTTGATCTTGACAGAGAGCAAGCCACTGCCGGTGCCACTTGCACTTACAAACATCTTACCGCTTACATCAGGAATCTGAAATGAAAACACGAGTATTTAGCGGGTGACTCATGAAAATATTAGAACATTTCATTTATCCCTGAGAATAGTATATTTTGAACGAAAAAAAGTATTGAGTAACTTCTGGGGATCGGTGCTTCACGTGTTGAAAAATGCCTATAGTTACAAAGTTTAAAATCAGCTTACATCCAGTTGCTGAAGAATGGCTGCGTTTTCTCGCTTTAGCCGGATGCTCTTTTTAAAATTGCGTTGGTTGCTCAGAGTGACGTTGCACATAAGATCCAAGTAGCTCTCTCGAGCTTTGAGGGCGAACTCCGTGAGTGCTTGCAGGGCCACCACCGTGTCCTGCAACCGAAAGTTGAGCGAAATTCGCTGCATTAGTTTTAAAAAAAAAATATATAACATGCCTCAAGATTAATATATGATATTTTCGGTAGTCTAACCACTCACATAATGACAGGCTGTCAACTTTATCATTTTTCCCGTAGTTTTTCTATTCATATGGACATAAACAAGTTTTAATATCTTAATTCTCATGTAATGTCCTTAAATATCGTGTGTTTGGTTTCTCTTCTTTTTGGAGGGGGGGGGGGGGGAAATATGTCTAGGAAATGTCGTGAACGCTACGTGAAGGCAGGTTGTGCAGGTGAGCCAAACTGCCAGGTGGACTCAGTTTAGAAGGCTAACCGCCTCGACAGGTTGGCTAATTAATAAAAATTGTTTATCAACTTTTCAGCTGTCCAAATATGGTTGTAATTATAAACATGCTATGCGTGATCGAGAAGCGCTAAATCAGTACATATCAGAAAATTTGAAGCGCGTGAGAAGGGCAGTGACGCGCTACAGTTGTCACTCGTGTAACAGCACATACCTACCGTTTCTTAAACGCGGATGATAATCTCATCAACCTCGTGTTCGCACCATCAGTCTTGCGCCTGCTGCATGCATGGCATCTGTAGCGCACCGCCGCACTGCCCACACGGTTCAAGTCTATAAAATGTATTGTTTCGCGGACTTCAATGACGCTCAGGAAGTTTCTGATTGAAACCGTATGTTTATCTTCACTAACTATAAACTTAATTAACATTATGTCATTTATTCTAATTATGGTGATTATTTGCCTCCGACATTATGTTCCCCTGGCAGGATAACTCGCCTGCACACACCTCATTGTAATAGCTTTCACGAAGTTTTTGTAATCTTTGTTGCCTGAAAACGCCTTATATAAGTTACGCTGTTCTACAACACCGACGTGGCTTGATATTTCAACTTCATAACGGCGCCCTTCTGAAGCGGATATAAATAGGTTGAATACATCACATATTCGAAATGACTGCTAATCACAGTATCGTTAAGTTGTCTCTTACCTGCGTAGACACGAAAGATCCTGAGGCTGAACGGTGCGTGTTCAACCAGTTGACTATGCTGCTACTCGATTCCAAGTCGTTATGCTCAAGGAAAGCCAACAAGGCGTAGCTGGTGCCTTCAACCACTAAGGGTGTCGCCTCTTCTCCCGTACTCCTTGTGTTCAACACTGGAATGAGTTTGAGCGCCGCAATATTTTAGTTGATTGTCCAAGTCACAAATCTACACAAAATGGGATTAACATATGTGCAACCCCACCCCGCCGCTCGCTCTCTCTAAAGTCACTGAATCCTGGGAAAGATAGCGCCAAGCTCCACGTATGGTCGCCATCTTGGTCCGTGAAATGAGCAATTTCTTCTTGACACCTCCGTTCTTGGTAAGCCGATCTAAATCCGCTCGTGATGGGTACCTTTATAGAGATGTTTCTTGTATACCGAGATTTTGCTATTTACACACCGGCGAAACAAGCCTACATCTTCGTACCACCACCACATGCTGTGTGGGTGCTTACATGCGCTGAAAAATAAATTTACCGTTTTTAAAGACGCTAGAACAACATAATTGTAGGAGATCCGTGGAGATGGGCATGATTGATGAGTTGGCGGCATACACAGTGCCAAAGACGCTTATATTAGTAAGCAACGCTTCCAATACGATGATGCTCCATGGTGATCTTTGCGCGATAGGTTTAGAACGACCCTCTGGAATCTTCGAAGATTTGATTGGATTGCCATGGCGGTTTCTATGGCAACAAAGACAGATGAGCCAATCGCCTTTCGAGGTTTAGGTAGTCTGTATATTAGTATCCGTTTGTGTCCGGCTAGCAGGTGGGGAAGGCAATAGCGCTACTTTCTCAAGATCCAGTGACTTTAAGCCCTCTCATGGACGAACGAGGCATGCGAGGAGCCAAAACAGCGGTGGAAACGGCGAAAGGGACAGTCCCCCTTAGTAGCACTGTAACCGCACGGTTCGGGATGTCACGTTCGTGCATCATGCAGTTAAAAAAAAATAATCGAATGCGTCCAAGTCGAAATGTTTGTGTTCCTTTTGCAACAGCGCTGCACAAAGAACCGGGATGTCTCATTTCATTTGGGACTTTTCGTAGATCAGATACGAGGCGGATATCTAGTCCTGCGGTCGCCAGCTTAGTATGTGCTCAGCGTGATGAAAACGCTCATGCTATTAGGGCAAAGCCTTTTCCATCCACAAAACGTATATTTCGCCGAAAACAGAAGGGGACTGCTCGTGCACCGGTGAGTCGAACGACCCACAACGGGAATAGGTTCGCGTTTTACGCGCTGGAAAGCCGTAACAAGGAGAGTGACAATTTGCTCTTATTACTTCCAAAACCCGGACTACGCGTGCTTGCCTTTACATAATTACAAAAACAACTAAACAAATACTTGCCCCGTTTCTAATTGCGTCTGTGTTAGCCCGCCGTTCGTAGCGAATGCTTAGGACGAGCGATTTTGCCAAGGCTGGTCGCAAAGCTACGAATAATATCATACACAATTGTAATATACTGCATATTCGAATTTCGTTGTATATAGAAAAATAAATAAAAATTAGATACGTTTACAATTTTCTCTAATGCCGAATAAGAGCGCAGCTCTCTATTAGGAGGAGGGGAGGATACGAAGGGGATGGTATGACCCTCCCACCTCCGTACCCTCCCGTCCTCCTGCCTTCCCATTTAGCTGGAAATTTTTCTAAATTAGCCGCTAAATTTAACAAACATTCCCCAGCTAAATTTAGCCGGGATGTTTTTCCGTTAAACTTAGCGGGGAAATTTTCTGTTAAATATATTGGCGAATTTTTTTCGCTAAGTTAAGTCGGGAATTTTTTCCACTAAAGTTAGCAGGGTGAATTTTCGGGCTAAATTTATTGGGGAAATGTTTCCGCTAAGTTTAGCGGCAAAACTTCTTCCGCTATATTTACCGGGAAATTTTCTTGTTATATTTAACAAAAACATTTTGCCCCTATATTTAGCGGAAAAAAATCCCCGCTATGCTAAAACTTCCAATCGGTATTCAAAGCACAGGCTGATCACGTGTTGCAATGAACCAACATCGCAACGGTGTGCAGTGAGTTGCCAGCTTCTCACACATAAATATAAATATTGTGATTGCTGCTGTTCCGGAGCTCGACAGTCACCCTGCGTGGCTCACTTTTTTGAGCACTGATGGTGAGGCACAGCACAAACTCGGCTATATCTTTATCACACTCAAACATCGTTTGCCACGCGCAATGACGTAGCCGGCGCCTAAAACACGATCACCCTCCGCAAAGCTCGCAAGTCCTGTGAAGTTTATGCAGCCTTTCAAAATCGACATGCGCGGTTTCCTAACGCAATCGTCTCTTTCACCCTTGAAATGCTCCTGTCGTGACTGCTTCGCTTTTGCAGCCGAATTAAAATTATATAAGCGCACTGAGCAGCGTCAGCGAACAGAGGCGCGGAAAATCCTGGAAAATATATCCCCGCTTCTTCCGCCATCTTAGAATTACCGCTTCGCTATCTATGGTGCGGTGGAGTTGCGAATTTTTCGTTGCAGGTTGAGATCAGCAAGTTCCTGCTACGAAGTCCTTCATTATATACACTTTAGTCGAGCGATTGCTGGAGAGCAGTCAAGGCGAAAGAGAGAACCACGAGTTATGGCGATCAAATTGCTTCCTGGGCGGGTCTGTCGCGCTATTCGTAAGCTGCATCAAACAATAGTATGCACTGCATGAATCGCCTCGAGAACACAAATCAGTTTTAAATTCCCATAGGTATGCGCCTCCAAGTAAGCGCTCCAACTTACTGTGATCGTAGAGCAGTTCATCTTTCATGACATCCATGGCGGTATGCTTCTCGGGGTTGTTTCCTAAGCTTAATGCGTAAGCCACCAACGCAGCCACGTAGGGTTCGTGTATGTCGTGCACGTGTCGGTTCAGGTATTCTTCGGCGTTGCTCTTCGTCTTTCCGATAATCTGCAAGTAAGCCTGTGTCGAAGTTCAACATGTCGGGAAGAAATATGGGGCCAAGGTATGGACGATGTAGCGGTTCAGTAATACTCTTATCTGAGCTAATATCACAATAAAAATTTTTCACAATTTTTCGGCACCTGAAGGGGTACCGAAATGTTTTGAATTGTTCTTCGTCTTCAGCGTTTCTGATAAAATATAACAAGAAAAAAAATAAACGGTACAGTTCTTTTTTTATAACAGAATAGTTGAAAAAATATCATCATTGCAAATCTAAAAAAAAAAGCTATTTTCTGACACCATCCCGACACGTCAATATGTTGTTTTTTCTCTATACGACAAGGCAACCCTAAGGTTGCCTCCATTTTAAAAGTATGAACAGTGTCCTTCATTAATGCACACTAATTACAAAAAGAGAAAAAAAATATATTCCTACCTTATCTTCCGTGTCAGATGGGGACTGACATTCATAAAAGGTAAGGAGTACAAAGGCTGTCATTGGTACTGAACCCTTTACGCCGCCCTGAAACGAATAAAACAGTGCGATTGCTCGTGAGCCGTTGTACTCTTCTTGTATACTCAATTGCGAGGCAGACGAGAATCAAGCACCACATCTTTTTTTTTTTTTTTTTAATACGAGAGTATGAACTGCCTCATGGAGCGAGCCAGCGTCATCACCCGCGCCAAACCGCAACTAAATTCTCCTGTCCCAAAGGAGCGAAGTGCAGCCAAATCCCTCATGGATTATGCTCCCATCGGCTGCCGCACGTCATCAAGGAACGAGGCTCCCATTGGCTCTCGTGCGGCGTGATTCCAAAATAAACCACTAGAGGAGCCCTTTCCTCGGCGGCGCAGCGCACGTGGCGGCCTGGCAAGGTGAGGCGGTGCTAACCTGGTCACTCGGCTAGGCCACAAAGCCCGCTCGGCCTTACTCGGAGGAAATTGTAGAGCCGACCTTAGCGCGGCTCACGAGAGCGCGCGCTCAACTGTCGGCCACTACCTCGGCAGTACTGAAACGTGGCTGCCACGCAACTACGCTGCAGACTAACTATGGGAGCGGAACAGAGACATTCATGCTTTCCCATTTACAACTCGTAAGTGCTTAGGCGTCCTCAGATTTTTAAAATCCGTTATAACTATCACTTTCTTAAATTTCAAGCCTTATTTCACGCAATGTAGCATATAGGTGAGCCAATCATTGTGTTTTACTAAGCTTAGGATACCGGCTTGCTCCTACAATATTAGTGGCGAAGCTCCTTTGGGGCTAGCGATGTCCGTACGTCCGTCCGCCGTCGGGTGCACGTGCTCCTGCTCGTGAGCTCACGTGCTCACGTGCTCACGAGCACGTGAGCACGGGCTCCCGTGCTCGTGTAGGGCAACAAAAATAAACAACCGCATCTCCACGTGGTGAATGATGTATATTGGGGCGAAGCTCTTGTGGTGCTTGTCTGCGTAGACGGTGAGCCGCAGCATGCCGAGCCTTTCGTTCGTTTTCATCCATGTCAGTAAGAGAATGTGTGGTATGGAACGTGGTTATATACGCATTTGAGCATTTGACCGCAGCGTGACATGGATAAAAACGAACGAAATGCTCAGCATGCTGCGGCTCAGCGTCAAAGCAGACAAGCGCTACCAGAGCTTCGCCCCAATCAAGATCATTCACCACGTGAAGATGTGTTTTTTTTAATAGCTATGGCCTCTAGATTCATTACTCCCCACAAAAAAAAAAGTATTATTTTGAAGAGACATGTAACCCTCATGCTCCTCAAGATGTTAAAACCCAAGAGGATAGACCTTACAGTCCATGGAGACTGTGTCTATCAACATGAATAGAGAAACGTCAACTATAATATCAGAGACTTTAACATGTTATGATGATGATCATCATCATTTCCACTTTAGTAAAAAAAGAAACAGTAACGTCATGAAACATGCTTTATGAACACAAAACCACTTGAAAAAAGAGAATAAACACAAGCACAGCGGCCGCGTTCATGAGCGAGCGCTAGAAGGTATCAAATTCACATCCCGTAATATTCAAAGACCATGCTTGCCGAAATTCAGACTATCGGGTGAACCCTAAAAGCACGTAAATATTGTTCCTAATAATTGCAGAAGCACACATTTTTTGGGAGTGGTATATTAGAGATATCACTTACCAGCATAACCTTGTGCATAATAGGTTTCCGCTCCTTGAAACTTCCGTCAATTTCCTGCCTTGATGCCAACCAGAGCATGCCGCTCTTGATAACTTCAGGATCAATGCTGGCGTACTGCCGTGCCTTGCAAAACACTCGCATCACGAACGCAGTCAACCTGTTAGCGAAGGTAGAGGCAACTAACGCTTGAACGTTTTTGTTGCGTAAACAGTTTTTCTCCTGCACATCTTAATTATTCTTGAAGAACAAATAAAAAAACAAGTGAACTAAAAGAAATGTATTGATTCAACATTTCGCAAAGTTACTGTGATAGGCCAGATTTGATTTCCTTCAGCAGTATAGGACAGCTGGAAGATGCAGACATTCTGATGTTTTTATATTAAAAAAAACGCCTTTGATTATTTATTTTAGTGGGGTCATTTACTTACATAGTTTTAGTCCTTGAAGTTAAAAAAAGAAAAGGGCATGTTGCAATTAGGAGTTCGAACCGATTAATATGTAAAACACGACGAAGGTCACAACGAATCTTTTTCTTAACGTCATGTACAAATGCGTTTCATTCCATCATTATAAAAAATGCGCATACGTACCAGACACTGCTGTCCCTGTGCTTAAAAGCCGAAAAAGCACCGTCTGGTTTCCGGAAAGATAACTCTTGCTCGTAACCTGTACGGGATATTTCATTTCAGGGTTGAGTACACTGAACTTGAACGTAATATTTGTGTAGCAGATATGCGGAAGAATGCAGAGTGAATAGTTATGAAAACGATTTACTACGTGTTTAATGTTTTCTGTAAATCAATATTTTACAATTTACTATTAGGGTTCGTTTAAATATTTCAGCTTGCTTAAGAAGACCCCGGTGCGTTTTTATCCATTGCTAACCACCGCTTTTTAGAGTTTAGGGACTCGTAGTTAACAGCAGGCTTTACTTAATGGCCTTCATTTTCGAACGTTAATCCGCTGTGAAATCTGATTTCCAAGTCCGAAGTCGGGCAAGTCGGAACACACCAATTTAATTGCTGGTCAGCAGGAAATTTAATGCAATTAATGGAACTTTTGCACACCTTTATAAGTCTAATTGACTTCTCCCAGTGATAACGCAAACATTGCTGCGGCAAACCCCCTGTCTTAGTGAAATCTCTATGAAGGTTTTAGTTGTGGTGTGTATATAGATGTGAGATATAAATATTTACAGGAAACATTTTCCTTATTTCAAACTGGTTTTATACTCACCTTCCCGGACGTATCTGTACGCTTTCTCTTCTAACGTTGCATTCAAAACACCCTTATGCTTAAGGTACTCAAGGGTGTAGAGTGTAGGGGCCATGAGCATCATGTTCTGCTCGCCGCACCCCGTGGGCATTGCAATCATATTTTCGATGTTCTGTAACGTTGTTTGAACAGAAGGTCCAATCTTGTTTCCTAGAAGGTATAAATGAAATTAAAAATATCGCTCATGCATAAGCTTCGATTTACTCAAAAAGGTGAAGGATTGGAATGCTTCTCCAACAAATTCGCACGGTATTCTCACGTTCTTCCGCTTATCGGTTAGGGATGCGAGCTTCTTAGTTTCTTTTTGTCCTTTTTTTACCGTAATCGCTCCTTCATAGTGGAAAGACAGAGTATGCCGATGTATTGAAAGACAAGTAGTAATCATCAGTATATGGGAAGCACAGATGTTTACGTTAATTCTTAACCATAAGCTTGCTGTCAATGCTGCTTTTTTTAATGAGACATTGGCCTAAAAACCTGTCATCCAAATATAGCCTCGCACGGGCATTTTGTTATGTACCTCCCAACAGTGATAAAAGATTTGCCATTTTAAGCACTCTGCAAGAAAATATTCAACATCAATAAACCTGTTTTAACGAAATAAACCATCAATAGAGTTAGTCTTGATGACTGGCAGCGATAGAACAATGGCACACAGAAAGCCAAGCCAAGCTCTGTTAAAGCTGAAATGAATAGTCCTTGTGTGAGAAATTCATCATTTTTAAGCAGATTTTTATTATTAGATATATTATCAAGTAAACACACCATATTGCGTAAAATGAATAAAAGCTTATTACTGATGAACGTGAAGAACTATTAAATACACACCAAAAAATATTGAAATTGAACAGCTTTTGGTAGGTCAATTTCTCTCAAGAGTTATTCAATTTATATATTAGTATAATTATATTAAATTATTATATAAATTAACATGTAAACGGGTCCGCTATTTTTTATATTTTAACGGCTCATTGACTGTGGTCAGATGAATTAAGGGGCTTAAAGTGCACCATGTTTAGTAGCTAGTAGGAAAATATTATTTGTCACTTCAAAACTTCCGTAATACGTGAACTACTTCACCTACCTATTACAGACAGTGAACAATGTTTGGTGTCAGGAACAGCGTCCGGAGGCAGTCGTGTGTTCACAGCAATGACTTGCACTTTAGCCGCCGTATCCAAAGAATCTTGAAATAAAAATCAGCGAGGTGTAAATTTGACAACGCTCACTGTGTAATTGTATTCATTTATAAACAAAAGTCCGATGATGTGGGGTGTTCAGGCTCCTAAAAAAGGGATGATATGGTTGTATGTCTCTAGCCACAAGAATATTTACGTAGATAAGTCAAAGGAATGTAATGTTTTATCTAAAATAGATCTTGGTTAAATCCGCTGCTCTGCTATCATCAAAATGTATGGGGATATATTATACTATTAGAACTGCGTTGAATATTATTTGAGGTACATTGAAGAAGGAATTTTCTGAAGTGAACGACTGATTACCTCTAAATACCAGGCAGATCAAGAGCGGTGTCCTAAGAATATTGTGTTTTGGTGAAACACAAATTAATTTTTGGCTTTTTAGTAGGCAAGGTTGATGACGCTGTATGCGATTAAAAGTGTGTGTATTATTGATCATATACATTGAATTGCATCTTCGAAAGAGCCAGGTCACCTCATGATTTGTGAAACTGCTCCTCCGAAAGACCCATCTAAGTGCATAGCGGTGTTTATTGTAAGCGGTCCACGAGTTATTCAGGAAACTCACCTTGGTAACGATCACCACGTATGCTCCGAGTTTTCCTTCTCCGTTCGTTCGTTGGATCAATCGGGATCGAAATGCTTTTCTCCACGGTCACACCTTCGGGCTGTTGATCAAAATCAAAGCAAACTATTGCGCACTGTTCGAGAAACGTGCATTCGCTCGAGGATCTCTACGAATATGTCTGTAGCACAGTTTCTGGAGGGTAAAACATAAAATAATTTCTAGTCATCTCTTTTCGAGACAGCCATTCAATTTAAGAATAAATATTTATTTTTCAACAAGTCCTGTGTTGAATCCCATAAATGGCACAAAATAAACCTCTTAAATTACATAAAATTCGGTTTGACGATACATATGGTAAACTAGTGCCGGTGACTAGGTTTCCTTTTTCTCGTTTTACAGGGGTCAGCATGTTGTGTCGGGCTACGTAATATACCCTCTAAAACGTTCCTGCAAAGCACCTAAAAGAGCAACTTTTTAAATTTTACGGAGCGAGCTCGACAGATTTTAAGGCTAAACATAAATTTAGACCTAAAACACGCTCTGCCCTGCTAAACCGCGCATGGCGAAACGTCAGGTTCAGTGTCACATCGCAATTCATTATGTTTATACATACTTCTAGTTTTGTAATTCCCACAAGCTTCCTCCGCACATTGCAGCGATTGGCTCTCCAAGTGCTTTGTGAGGAAGTAGGCGCTCCAGATTGCTCACAGTCAGTGTCAGCATAAGAAACTCAGGGTGGAATTTATTGGGTTAGCGTTTTTTTTTTTTTTTTTTTGCTTTAAGATTTGCTTTTTAGTGTTCGTACATGTCAATGCCCCAACCTTGTCGGCTTCAAAGTAATAACATGGTGCTCTTAACTCTCCACGCCGTGTGTTTCTTATACTCTCAGTGACCATGGAGTGTCTGAAACTTGAATTTACAATCTTAAAAGGGGGCTCTGATTTAGGAGGAAGATCGAGCATTAACGTGGTTGACTTACCACTACGTTGAGTACTTTTTCAACGATATCTTCCCCTCTCGTACTTTTCACGTGTATCTTGACGACGAATTCGCCCTCCTTGAGAGGTATCACCGGAAACGTGACGCTGGCTGCCGAAGTAGCGTTTACTTGAATTGGCCTTCGCTCGGATCTTTGGCCCACTGGTGCCCCGGTGCAGAGTCCTTCGGCCCCGTAGATGTACACGTTGCCCTGCATGTTGAGGATGAGCGCATATGTAAAATGGCAAAGGTGACATTAAAAAGAAGTGTGAGCGTCTCCGTTATTTTTGAAAGTAGTGGCCTATGCCTTACTTTTAGAATAATTGAAAGGGAGATTGAGTATCACCTTGGTTCCTGAACAGTGATCATGTAGTCTGAGTTGTTTAACGGCTTGGTTATGCTTTCAGTCAAACTCACTAAACCTGGTCTAGACTTCGTTTTGCACTAAGTCTGAGTGACACACATCGAAAGGACCATCAGAAAATTTCGATGCTTTCTCAAACTTTTTTGATGGTCCATCACACCTTCTTGATGGTCCATCACACTTTCTTGACGGCCCATCACACCTTCTCGATGGTTCAACAGACGTTCTGGTAGCCCAACAGATCATCATAATGCCCCATGAGACTTATTTGATGGCCCGAAGGCTTACATAATGGTATCTGACGGTCCATCAAAAAAACATTATGGTGGCTGATGGACCAATAAAGGTTACCGTTTGTAGCGCACACACCGTCGAAACATTTCGGTTGTGGATTACCAACCATTGAAATGTTTTGATCGTGACTGAGTTACACCATCAGGATGTCTAGGCCATCAGAACGTCAAACAGGCTGATGGTGCTTATCATGATATATTTTGGTAGTGAAAAGAATCTGACCATCTTCGGGACGTTCCAGTGGTGGCCGAGAGGGGCCGCCAAGGATCTCACGTCGGCGCGCAATGCGTGAAATACATTATGTGCGGAAATCTGTCAGCGGCGCGGCTCAGACACTTAATATTCAGTCCATAACAATTTGCCTCAACGCTACGTCACTTTTCGAGTATTCTCGGATACTCGAAGGTCATGAAGCAAGCTTCTTACCCAAGTACGTTTTTGCAACCACAGTTTTGTTTTAAGTGGTGTTCGGGTTCGTTGGCGAAACAATTTTTGATCCGCTTTGTACGTGAATCAGATCATGTTTACAATCTCTGTGGCACAAAATCTGTGAGAAAATGCACTCTGCTTGATCGAAAATTCGGTTACAAGGTAAATATGTACTTTAAACTAAATATTTGCGAGAATAAAACGCTACAAAGCCGCGAATGCGGTAATACGAGGCTTACCGCATTGTTGGCCTGATAAAGCTTTATGTTTTGCACGCTGTCGCACGACGCCGTCGTGCCCAGCATCGACGATGGGAACAGAGTGTAGATAGACCGCTAAAATTGCACTTTGCGTAGTCTCGAAAGTAGCCAGTGTTTTAGGCACCTTTTTTCTTCCGTTTTGGTTTTTGCGGTTTATTATTTCAATGTTCAAACTTTTCTAAATATAAATATTAACGCGCCACGAACAATATGCAAACTTGACTTTCTAGTTTCCACGGGGATTTGGTATGGCATCCAAACTCTTCGAATGTTCTTTTTCTTAAATAATGATGGGCGCAAACTAACGTTAATATTACTCCGTAGTACAATATGTGTCTTCTGCCGGTACATGTTTAATTAGAAATGCGTACGAATAATTAGACCAACAGACAATCAAAACAACAAACCATCAAACCATCGCACCAGCAGAACATCGAGCCATCACACCATTAAGTCATCAAACCATCAGCCCATCAATGTCTTAAGATACGACAGACCATCATCCTGATGGACCATCAGAAACGTTCTGATGGTCCGTTCGACAAGGGATCCACGCTACGATGAAATAGACGCAATCAGGACTGCGACTAAAGTGAATGGTGAAGGCGCTTGTCTTTTTTGGGAGCTTGCTGTCACCAACTAAGACCAAGCAAGCACTAAACTAGGCGGAAGATCACGGCGCACTCGGTGTGCGTAAATGCTTCCGCGGGTAAGAGCAAACGCAGAAAGAGGACGATCACCGTGATGATGGACTATTGACGCTGCTGGGTTGACTCCATACAATAGTGGCGTTGGCTTTCCTCAGACATATATCTCAAACAGGCTGTACGGGGATCAAGTGTACCAAAATGCGTCTTCGGCGCATCGGCACGCTCGGAGGAGCACGTTAATCAAAGAGAAACTTAGATGAGGTGCAGAAAAAGCGCCATGACGAGACGCGCCTGAACGCGCGCGGTCGTTGGTTGAGATCGTGGGAAAACAAAAGCATGTGGGCGTCCTTGGGGGCAGACAAACGCACGAGGTGCACAAGAAGCACACTAACTTGCACGCCGTATAACATATGTGCATACCAATTAGTCCACCTATAGAGATGCGTGCTTTCAGAAACCATTGTAGTTAAGTAGTTGTACGGACGGGGACGAGATGTCGAATGAGCGATTTTAACTGCTTTGATTTTGAACTAATTGAGTCACTTCAGACAACGGAAGCTAGCGTAATCATATATTATTTTCGGCGATCGGTTTCGATGGAGATTAAACGATAAACTAACCACACCGGCGTTTCATTTAAGACAATATGCACCGAAATTACGAGGTACAAAAAAAAAGAACAAATTACTACACCAAAAATCTGATTTCTCTTTATATTTTTTTTTCGCTAACAAGTTTTACGTGTTTATTCAGTTCTCTTTTTTTATATATTTAGCTTACTAAATCTCAGACTTGTACCGTACGCAAGATTAATCTGATTACTTTTTAAAGTGATAAAATTACTTGTAACCGTCATAATTTGTCCACGGGACCCCCCCCCCCCCCCCCCCCCCGGCACACGCCTTTTTTCTATAAAGTGACAAAAATAAAATTTGCTTCTTTTTTTTTTCGAACGGAAAAAAGAAAGATTTTTGAGGAGCTGTAGGAAACGAGGTCAATCTCTTTGTTTGTACAGTGTCTGTGGAATGTCCGTTTTCTTTTTGTTTGTTTGTTTTTTTCGAGCTGGGGGGATTAAGAGTGGGAAGCACCAGGGAAGCCACAGTGCATGACAAAGGCCATTCAGGGGGAAGTTTGAGGAAGCAGAATGCAACTTTGTGAGTCTTTCGTTCAAACTAGTCCCCTCACGCACACACACACACACACAGAAATAAAAAAAAAATCCTGCTTTGGGTACCTACTCACAGCCCGTAGGAGAACCAGAACCGAAGAATGCCTAATGCGAATGCAAAATATAACAAAGGCAGTTGAAATATTTCCCCATTTCCCCTACGTGGTCGTTGTGACAAGCAATGTTTCGAGTTGAGAAGTGGTCGGGGCGATCTCTTCCGCTAATGGATATAACACATGATCCGTTTCAAATCCTGGAGCTGCTGCTCTTTTGTATAACATGCGAGCTCATCCACATGTGAATAATAAAATGAGCGACGCGAACTTTGAGCGACAACCCTTCCTCAAACTTAACAAGATCTATAGAACCCCCTCCGCTCCCCCCCCTCCCCCCCTCCCCCCCCCCCCACACACACACACTGGCGAACGCCCAAATCATTAAACGTCTTCAAACGAATTCTAAGCTTGTGTCCGCATTGTGAAGGTGCAACGACCACGAAGAGGGAACCAGTTTTTCTTCTTCAATACTTGTATGCGAAATATAGGTTGGAAGTAGTTCATTGTTATGAGCGCTAAAGATGTGTCTTCACACAATAAAGTGATCGGAAAAGTAACGATTACTTCAAGTGATGTCCAATTACTTTTGCCGTCGAGTAATCAAGTAATCTAATCGAATACTTTTTAGCCAAGAGTAATAGTAATTGAAATCGATTACTTTTTTTTAGTGACGTGTACAAGACTGCTAAATCTTGAGGGTTGTTTCTCATTCTCAGAAGTGTGCTAAGCTAGTCGAGTTAATATGACGACATGTCTTTTGGCACGCTGTACTATTCACCATGTTCTCGTTCTCGCGTGTTCAGTACGACACGTTTCGGCTTCTAAAGGAAAGCCACAAATTTATATTTGTGGCATTGTTTCCTGCGTTTCTTTTTGTCTGATTATTTCGGAATATATGAAATGAAGCACAGAAAAAACTCACGAGGAGACTACGGCTGCCGTAGTTGTAGACAGTAGCGAGCACTTCAATCTGCTCGTTACGAACCACCTTGTAGGGTATGCTGACTTGCAGGAAGATGTCTTGGAAAGCCCGTACTTCTTTGGATGGCGGCACACACACGCCGCCTGTCGGCGACACGCTCACAGCTTGGACGGACCAAGTGGTGATGCTGTGCGGAAGGCTAGCGCTGAACTTTGCAGTGCCGTCGGACCTGGGCAGAAGGATTGTCAGTAAATGCAGGAGACTGTCTAGGGTGTAATACGTAATGGTTCTTAAAGGGATGGTGAACTAAAATTGTCAGTGTCTCTAATACGCAGCGCACTATCTTTTAATGAGTCAGCAGCCCCTGGTGTGCGCGAGCACGCGCAACGAAATTGACGTCACTACATCCCCCATTCACGCTTAGTAAGCTCGAATGGGGGATATGATGACGTCAATTTCGTTGCGTGTGCTTGCATCATATCGGCGGCTGCTGACTCATGGAAAGATGGTGCACCGCTTATTATAGACACTGAAATGTTCGGTTCGCCATCCCTTTAAGCTTCCCCGAAACGCAATTGCTAGATGCTAGATTGTGAGCCAAATATATCTCACTGACCATTGGCATCGTTTCGAAGGACGTTTATTATGTCTCATTGCCAGCCCGCACACGCCACTCTTAGCTTCCTACAGCTAAGTCACGGTTATTCGCTTTATTCAGATCAAAACACCAGCTGCAAAATAATCTCAACGACGGAGATTGCGTTTCCTTTCTCACACTTTGACTGAACACTCTGTAGAACTACTATCGTCGACAGCATAAGCACAGGGCGTGGCGAATTCAGAGCATCTTTTCATCGCTCTGTTGCTAGCGGGGGAACAGCATTAGCAGATAAGAACATTGAACCACGAAAAAAGAAGCATGAAACCTTCCCATAATGGCCTTGCTTTTCTCAAACCGCAAGTGATTATAGCAGTGCTTTTAATCCTGGAAATATTATCGCCCTTTCCACCACTCCCGAGGAAGTTAGGTAGAATGTGAACACACTACTGCTTAACAGAAAGCCTTCTGTCACAACCTTCAAACTGCTACAACGAGGCCCTAAAGCTTAACCGCGTCTCGGGACTATGCAAAGACCTTACCCTACTGTTCCCTCGTCGAAAAGCCACGTCTCCCTGAAGTCTCTTCGGACAAGGGGGCTGGTGGACGGACCGTCAACCTCGTCCACCGAGTCTTCCGTTATGAACTCGATGCCATGCCGAGCTCGCTCGTCGCCCGTAGCTTGGAGATTTGGGACACGAGGGCCTGGAAATCCTGAAAACAGACGTGGAAGCGTTGCTTACAAACGGCTTCCAAGTAAAGTCGTTTGCTCGCACAGAAACTTTGAACAATGAGCATTGTTGGCTCAAATGAAAACTTCATTATCTTACAATACTCTTCAGGTGCTCGTAAAAACTTGTAACTGCCTCAGCATTACGTAAACGGCCAGAATTATACAGATTCCGTTGATGCGAAGTCTGTCGATCTCTGCGTATGCATACTTCTAAGTAGTACATGGATTGCATTCATCGCCCTGACACACACAAATATGCAAAAGCAGTAATATAAAAGAACACTTCCGATGAATTTAGAGACAAAACTGATCCACTAATTTTAACTAGAAAACTTTCTCACCAAATATAGAGTTTAGCGCATTTCCGTAACAAACACAAAGTCCGAAAGGCCAAAGCAGTTCTATCACAGGTCTTTCATTAAAAACTCATCTGTTAACATAAAAAGCAGCGAATCACTTTTTATTTTTCTTTTTTGAGTAGTCGGTGGTTTAGAGTGTCAGCAGAACCGCAGTTAGGATTCCGTGGAGCGAAAGCTTGCGCTGCAGAACGCAGGGATATCGCGCTCGATCCTCCCCCTTCTGCCCCCCCCCCCCCCCTTCCGTGTTCGATTTGGATGAGCAACGTACCGGCGTGCGGTCGTCTACCACATAATGCCAGCTAAAAAACGTAGGCTAGCAGTAGTACTGCACTGTCTAAATTTATCATCTACAGAGGCGGCACCAGGCACCCAGTGAGGCTGACTAACTTTCACCTGATTGAACAAACACACAACATTGCTTACTTTCAACGCTATTGTGTTTCATCTTCCGAATTTTATAAAAATCTCTACCGTTTTACTATAGCGAAAAACCGACAGACCAAAAAACGTTGCGTTCACCAGAGTAATACAAAGTATAAGGAAACATACATTTGACCAGAGAGAAAAAAGTCACCGATAAAATTGAAGCCTAACGTCCTAGGATAATGTGACAAATGCTTTACCGACTGTACTATCAAGAAGTGTCTCCTCTCCCATTCGAGAGGTGTTTGCTCCTGCATGCGGCAGCAATCAGGTGTTCACAAGGCTTCCATGTAAGAAGAAAGGAGCACAGCGCCGCCAACGCAGGTATATAAGGCTCCACCACCCTGGGCGCGACGCGGTCGAGTTGCCATAGTTTCGATGCGGCCACGGTGGAAGAAGAGACAGGTGTCGGAACAAGGCCGGAAAGAGGGTTGAAATTTCACTCAAGCTTCGCCCATCTCCTGGTGGGGCGGGCACTGTCCTCGGCACGCAGATGCGGTCGGAATACGGGCGGCTTGGAGATGGTCGGTTAAATAAGGACACGGTTCTTTGACTCCTGCAATGCTGCGCCATCTCACGGCCTTCGTCACAAATGATAGCTAATTTTCGACAGACTTGCTCCATGGCGAGGCGGCGCGGTTCAGACACTTCTCCCTTTCACCGTGGCCGTCACTCGTACGAGGCAGGAGGACGCAGAACGTATGCAAGCTTATAGAGAACGTAAGAAGCGGTAGAATCAGCAGGAAGTGTCTTCACCAGGGGCACCGCCAAAAAACGCTGATAAGTGTAAAGCCCATCACATATCTGTGCTTTCAAGACTTTGCCAGCATTATCAAGCATTCATAGTTTTCTTTCACGGGGACTAAATATCCAGCTGAATTCTACTTCAACTGTTTACGTTTTGCTAATATTTACACTGTAACATGTTTGAATCTAATACGTAATGCGTACCCTTCTGGTCAGGATGAAGGGGCGAAGCGCTGAACTATAAGTTACGTGGTAGGCTCACGGCGATAGATTGCAAAAAATTGACTTATACTATTGGTTTCTCGCCCAATAGGGGTTGAGGCTGAAGTATAGTTGAAACTTACAAATTCAACAACTGCCAACCGAAGTTCACATTCCTAATGTTTTTGCGCTTTTGTTTTTTTAAGCAAGTCTCCCACGACGTTTATTCGCTCTTCCTCGCGTCAGTTCAAACACGGTGGTCCAAGTGTGCATTTTGCCATTAAACACTTCCGTTTGATAATAACGGGAGGGTTTTCCAACTTTCTCACTGTCGTCAACGGCAAGGTGAGAACTCTTCTGTCGTTCTCACCTCGTCAGTGATTTCAGGTTGTATGGCTTGAAAAATCATCGCTCAAAAGGAGTGCAGTTTTGCGGTCCTGCGCTTGAGATATTCAAGAAGGTGGTCTTGTTGTTTTTAGTCTGCATTATGCCGTTGCCTTACCTTGTGGCCGAATCTCCTTGCAGCACTCCTCAAAGGCCTCGGAACATTCTTTTGCCTGGTCCTTTCCGTCCATGTGCTCATACACTATGTCGGCTCGAGCCTGGCAGGTCCTTCCAAGGCGGTCCCTTTTCTGACCAAGTATGCAGCATTGACGAAGGAAGGGATCTTGGAAGTTATCCGCTGTAACGTTGTGAAACATACGTCATGGGTTACTCCTTTTTTTCATTTGGGACTCAACTTTCCTTGAAAATATGATGAAAATATACTGCCACAAAATTACAAGGCTTTGAACCCTGTGTTTTTCATGCCCATATTTATAATATCTGTGCTGGATGTCTCTCCATAAAGCGAGCATATAATTTTGAACCTGCATATTGATAGTGATTTTTCCTTGGTGAAATTGCAATGCATATTTCTTCGACTGTAAAACAAAAGAGAGCCATGAACTTGCCAGGGTCAAGGACGTACGTGTCTGCACACGACCGAGGTCGCGGTGACTGAACATGCCGTCTGCGAACAGGTACATCACAGACCCTAGAACGTCTGTTGGTATAATTTTTTTTATGCATACCGTTACGCCTTGAATGTTCGCCCGGTAAAAGGCACAACCGAAATGTAGATTTAGCGAAAGTTTGAGCTCTCTACGTGAAGGTGACGATTTTGTTTTCCGGCATCTGCACATAGGTCTATAGATCTGTACAATATAAAATCTGTGGCAGCAACACTATGCTTTTTGTTATGGAACGAGAAGTTGAATAAGTGAGATAAAACACTTGATCTTCTGAACAATTCAATAACAAGAGAAATTTAGAAATAGGATCCCCTTCGAAAACGCGAAGCCGTAAATGTAACGTTTCACTTGCTCATTGTCTGCTGCACAACGTGCGCTTTCAAACAAAAACCTACTTTTTTTTCCTTTAGGTTAGTTTTACTTTTACAGATAGCATGGGTTGACTTTTATCGTCACCGTTATAAAAGAGTCTAAAACATAAGGTATCTCAAAACCCTTAATTTTCAAGGATTGGATAACGCTCGTACATTCTATTATATACTGTTACATATTTAATATTTCTTTTTTTTTCTATTTGTGTTTTATTGTAAATTTAATAAAACCCAAGTAATGGACATACCGGCACGTTTTAGGATACTACGGCGTCTTCGAATGCGCGATTCGCAGCTGTTATCTGAAAGAAACAAAATGTTAGCATTTGATATTGGGCTTTAGTTTTAGGCAAATGTCTGCAGCTAGTGAGGATATATTGCTACCAAACGAAGGTTCAGAAATTCATGAAGTAGCAAATATTCACGTCTCGATTGTTATGCACTAAACGTTATTTCTGTTGTGTTTTTCAATACGGAAACACCTCCAGAAAGCTCGGAAAATATATATATATTTAATGGGAGATAGTGACATAAAGAAAAGTGACATGACAGAATGAATAAAATATGCAGAATTAAAGATCACAGTTATTATCTCCAAGCAAGCACGCAATCTGGAGCGCAAGTTCGTCTCCTGCGTTTGCTGGGATTACTGTGACGTCAGAACGTCGAGCTCTGATCAGCTCTGATTTACCGATAGTGGGTAGACCTCAAAACAAACTGCCTTGAGGTCTACACACTATCCTTTAGAGCCAATCAGAGCTCGACGTTCTGACGTCACCACAACCCGTGCAAGTGGGGCAGGCGAACTTGCGCTCCGCAAAGGTTGGACAGTAGTTTTGCCAGACCTCTGGTCTTGTAAATAAGTATTCAATTGTAATAACTGCTATTTTCTAGTGCTGGCCAGTTCAGAGTTATAAAAATATTATAATGCTTAACAACATGCTAGAATGATATGGGGAAATCTCCGCAAAGTCCCGCAAATAGTACGAGCTCCTCCGTAGGTATCCCTTCCCGCAATGCACGCAGAAATCAACTATTGTCTTTTACGGAAGAGCAGAAAATTACGGGGCACTACCTGCCTTCTGCCTGAGAAATTCGGATTGCACTACAATTCTATTGTTTTTGATGCATCTCTATTCGCTGACTTTTTCCCTGTAGATGGCAGTGATTGACTACATTCACACTCTGTGGGATAGTGGGCACGATGATATTATTTAGAAAACAGCTCCCGTAGTCTGCGGGAATATACGGCATTGAATTGAGAGAAAAAGAAATTAGCAACTGCAGTGACATCTACATAATAATTATATCCTAATTGTTTCTCAAAACACTTCTGACCTGTTCTGATGGCATTTTCTAGAGTCTCCTCAGATATTATCACGATCCCGGTGTCTGCGAGGACAACATCAGACGTCAAGCCACCTCCCGGACCACAGCCAAGGTCGTGGGACTTCAAAACTGTAAAAAGCTAAGAGACATTTTTTCTTCGTCATTCCAGGAACAAGACAATGATTAAGAAAGCGTTTTAACGTACCCATACTCGGCCAGACATTTTTTATTTATAAAAATAGAATGTGATTTTTACAAAATAACAAGATACTGACATTTCTTAACCATTTCTAACCAACGAAGGGACAACAATTAGGTACTGAAGTTGATGCCGAAAGGTCTGGATTTTAATTTGTGTCAAATTACAACTCCCCTAGTCGTTATATATTTTTACAAATATCGCTCGCGAAACACTACACTCTAGACCAAAATATTTTTTTTTGGTTATTTATCTACTACAAAATAGCTTTATTTTTACCTTTGGCAAAGCAGTGTACTCGCTAAAAACGTCTATATGATGCTTTGGTGGTAGCTTATATCCAAGCCAGGGGTAAGTGGCAGTTGTATTCAAGAAACATTTTGGAGTCAACATTCCATTTGAAATTTGCCATCCACAAAAAAAAACTGTTTTCATAATTTTTAGCTTCACAACATAACGTATTTATTCTGGCACTGATACATATCTGCCCGCGCGGGTTCAATGTAGGCAAAACTCTGCAGCAGAAATGAGCACTCTCTTGAGGAATCACCTAAACCCATTCTCGGAACCGTTGCCAAGTTACAAAAACGGCACATGCATCGTTTCGCCGAAATATATACAAAATTTATTTCAATTCTTGTTACATTACCTTCTCTCTCGTCAGAAGTTCCTTGTTGTTCAGAATGTAGACGGCCTTGTCGACGGCCAGAATTCCAACGCGGGTTCCCTCTCTGCCACGGACATTCAGAACTCCCGAGGATCCAGGTTCCTCACTCCTGAATTCGGGCTCGATTTCAATCTGCCAAGAAGAATGAAATTGATCGCTCAAATACTGTATCTGGCCGAGTTCAATGTTCAAGGTTTACGGCCCAGTTTTCTCAAGGTCCATGTATCCGAAACCAACTTCTCCCGACTGATGAATCCCAAACACCATAGCGGGAGTAAACCAGGTTTCTGCTTCGAATTTATAGAACTAACATTTCTGGCAGAGTGTTTTTTTAGCAGATGAAGGTAAACATGTAGTAATCGGTTGGGCTTACAAATGCTAAACAAATATTGCGATATCAAATATGCTTCAAGGTACTTGATATTTATCATAATAGAAATGTGCAAAGAATGAGGTGCGAAAAGATTTTGTTTTTACGTAATTCCTCACTATTATTAGAGGGAATCATCTCCCTGCTAAACTTAGTATGTTATTTGAACTTGTATGTGATTGTACATCAATTCAAATTGGCATGATAAATTTCTAGGAGCAGTTTAGTACTTAAACTATTGTTCCTTTTTTTCCAGAAAACCATAGCCCTATAAAGGATCTTTTAAAGCAAAGGTTCCGCCAATATGATGTTGTTGCTGCTTGTGCATTCCTGACATATATCCTCGCGAAGAAACATGCTATCATTATTAGTGTCGACATTTATGAAAGCTTTGTAGCACTTTCATATAAGAAACCAGAACAAACCAGACTCTGAAAATAAATAACATACACTTTTTATATGCGCGTCTTAGTTGCCAGACACTGGCGACTAGCTGCCCTACGCAGCAAAAATACAGAGTAAACACAAAATATATTAAAATCATAGCAACTAAACAAAAAATTGTCCTTCCCTCTTTGCGTCGTAAAAGTATAACATAGTACACATTTTGTTTCTTTTTTTTACTAAAAGAAAGAAAACAAATGGAAACAGGAAACCTGATTCATTACAATAAATATAGAAAGTATAGACGCACTACACCTGTTCTTTATAAGCAGTTTGAGTTGATTGGCAAGTAACTCACATCAGAGGAACCCGTGCAGACTTCTTCAACTTCAATATTCATCGAGTCGGCAAGCAAATGTCCCTCGTGGAAAGCATACACCAGCACCCTGGCCCCTGGACTCATTTCTGGAGTCACTTGGAACCCGAAGGTCTTGTAGAAGCTTGATTCGTTCACTTTTCCGTGTGCCTTCGTTTGGCCTCGACTGATTACCTGATAAAAAATGAAAGCCGTTTACAATTCCTTGTAACGCCGGTTAGAGCGTTCCTCTTGAGGAGGAAGATGGAAGCGTACTGAGGGATAGGTGACTCCTTGAGGTCACATGACCTCAAGTGGGTCACGTGACTTCAGGGGGTCACGTGACTTCAGGGGGTCACGTGACCTCAGGGGGTCACGTGACCTCAGGGGCTCACGTGCCCTTTGGGGGTCACGTGACCTTAGGGGGGTCACGTGACCTCAGGGGGTCACATGACTGCAGGGGGTCACTTGACCTCAGGGGGTCACGTGATTTCCGGGGGTCACGTGACCTCAAGGGGGTCGCGTGACTTCAGGAGTCACGTGACCTCAGGGGGTCACGTGACCTCGGGGTCGTCAAGTGACCTGGGTGGGTCACGTGACCCCCTGAAGTCACGTGACCTCAAGGGGGTCACGTGACCTCAAGGGGGTCACGTGAACTCAAGGGGGTCACGTGACCTCGCGGTTACGCCGACGGCGACGGCGACGCCGACGCCGCTCAAGCCGGAAACGGGCCCCTAAGAGCTGTGCTCTAAAAAGGTCAGGGTTCGCTCTATACACGTTTCGAAAAAATCCTCCTAGGCCGCCGCTATGCTGGGGATGCTAATGCGGCTGGTGCGGCTCTCGCATCCGCTATCAGCTGGAATGTTCCTGCAACTCTCTTGGACTCTGAAAACCCGCTCAGAGAGATTCTACATCTATGTTTTGTGGTCTGCATTCGACGTTTTCTGGCCCCTCTCGAATGTTTCCACTAAATCTTTCTCATGCATGCTGCGTGCCCTTCTCTCCTGTCTTCCATTGTGAGAAATGGGGCTGGTAAAAGACTGACCATTGAAACATTTCTCCTTGACATTCACGGGAAACGATGGCGAGGAAGGACGTCGAACGGCCCTCGACGTGATCTTGGGAACAATGACAACTGTTCTCCTCCCTCCTGTAGATAATCCGTCAACAGTCCTTCTCAGTCATAGCCAAAAATAGTTGTTCGAGTGGGAGTCAGTCGTGCCCGTTCTTTTGCTTTGGTGCTCGTGTGAAAAAATAAAGCTCTCCCAAAAACATGCCACAAAACAAATTAATCTAGGGTTCTCTCCGACCTTCAAGATGTGACTGTCGTTCACTGTTCGTGTTTTTTTAGATGTTTCTCAAATAACTTATTTTCAGATAACGCTGCATCGTGTGGAACACCATATTGTTCGAATGTTAACACATGCTAAATTGTAGGCTCGTGTCACGTCCATCGGTGAACACGTTATTTGCGAGCGTAAAAATCGCATGCCTTTCGGCCATCTTCTGTTATAAATTATATTCGACAGCTAAGCACTTTTTCGTTTGATACGCGGCTAATCGGGCGACACCGTCAAAGCTTGTTTAAAAAAAAGAAAAACTAACATGCCAGTCGCATTCCTTCAGTTCAGTTTGACAGTTCACGGAAGCTTCTGCAGCCAGGAGCGGGGACGCCGCGACGACAGCGACACTCACGCCTCACTCCTGCTTTTCGCCAGCATTTCTGCACCCAACCGCCCGGATCACGCCATCCGGCAGAATAACTCTCCGGCTTTTGTGACGTCATTCGTTGCCATTTTGGGACCACTTTCGATGCAAGGGCGGAATAGGACGCTAAATAGGCCAGTCATAGACGTGTTTCAGCCGCCATACTGAAACATACTAGTACAATGGCGCCAGGCGCTCCAGGGCCACCTTTCAGGTAGCCCTGGAGCGCGTATAACTAGACCGATGGTTTCGGTGTCGTTTCGAGAATAAACGTACGCACGATCTGTCGAAAGTGGTCATTTATAACCTCATCAAAGGTATTACAAGTCCGTGGTGAAAAGAAAAACAATGCGTAAAGAAGTTGGAAATATATGCAAGTCAAAGGTGTGCCACGACAACCCTATAAGTGGCGCCATTGCGGTTTCTCATCGCAAGAAGTGATAAGTGGTGGCCGTGCACGCTGTTACAGTTAAGCTAAAATGTGCAACCAACTTGAAAGCATCAGAGCCGTAGAACCTACTTTAAAACCAGCAGCAAATAAAGGTACGGACTGAATAACTTAATTTCTAGATGATGACGTTTTTTTTTTTGTTTTTTTTTTTGTTTTAATTGACATTTACAGTTCTCAGCGATAAAGCTGTTCAAAGCAGGGAGGGTCAATAAATAATAACAAAAAAGAAGAAAAAAAAGCTTTACATACTCTACTTTTACAAGAAAGGAGAAACAATATTGACTGATACGTTTTAGAGAGCAAAAGTCGGTGCCTAAAATTTTATTTTATTCGCATTCTCTTTATAGTTTTATTGCTTGTATTGCATCAACCCTCTCGCGAATAAATGAGCGAGATGAGACAGCATGGTTGCGTTGAGTGCTGAGACATACATAAAATATAAAAGCAAGTCCCAAGAAATATAACATTAAAATGCCATGATACACATGTCTAAAACGCATACGGTTTTTCTGGCTAGTTTTACTTACCATGTAGTAAATCGGTGAAATATTAGAGGGCTCCGCTCTTGCATAACCGTCAAAATGTTCCCCAACCTAAAAACGAAAAGGACAATAAAAACAACAAAAAAGCTACTGTAAAACATGTAGCACTAAAACCTTTCAAACAGGATATTGAATTAGGTCCTCGCAGCACTTTCTAAAGAAAGATATTTTTGTATACAATTTAGATAAGATGGGTGACAAACGTTCAGTTCCAACATGCAAAATGAAGTACAAAGTTTCATTTTTGATGGCAGGAGGGACAGTTCGCTATCATCAGCCATGCAATACTTTTTTCGCCAGTTTACCTTCTTAATCTCTAAGATATTGCTATTTAATCGCACGACACTGAAAGCCACGCGTACTTCGATAACTAATCGAATAAAAGTGAGTTTTAGCATTTCGTATGCGAGCAAATGCAGTCCGATTGCGTTTGCGTTAGCGTTTCGAGCTCCACACTGAGTCTGCGCTGTGCTTCAGACTGCGTCTTGGATTGGCGAACAGGGACGACGCGCATGCGCAGCGTGGAGCACGCAACGCTAACGCAAACGGCCAGCACTTGCGTTTGCTGCTGTGTGCAAGACTAAAACTATTTATCATTATAGGGGTTGGTGCGTATAGAAAATATCTTAAACATAACTGTGGTGTTGATCAGTTTAACATGTTTTTATTATTGACACCCCAGTATAGTAGAAAAGAAAGTTTCAAGTGATTCCAGCTCTTTCTTTATTGTGCCAAGTGTAGCGGGCGTTCCTGAGAAAAGGGAACCGTGTATTTATTTGCATCGCAAAAATAAACAACTCGTTGCCGACATTCCAGGCTCCTTAAGAACGTAATGCTTGCGGGTTGGTACTACTGGGGACCAGGTATGAAAGTTTCAGAAATTTGCCTTCATCCAAATCAGGCCGTTGAAAAGGAGAAGCAGGCGGAGTGCGTCGGTTTTCGACTGCATCTCTAAGACGGCGCCACCTGCTCGCCCACCTCGTGAGGCTCGTCTGACCCGAAGGACTGGCGGCAAGGTAGAAACACTTGTCAGAAATATTATACATTTCTCCTTAAGTTTGCCGCTTCTGATTACACAAATATAAAACTGAATAAAAGGATTTGAAATTTTACGTAATCAAGGTGGCTATAATAAAAACATAACGTTATCACATTAAATATTAAAACGGACGTCTTCTGGTTCTGTCTTCACGAACGCTGACGTTCATCTACAGAGAGCTTCCACACATACCTGTCGTTTCATTGTATCCAATTACACACTGAGGCTTATTGGTGCAGCAATTGTCGCTCGAACAAGGGGGTCAGTTTGTGCCATGGCACAGAGAATCCAGGAGCACCAAGGAGGTATGGTGTAAGTTCTGCTCAAAGTTCAGCCCACGGCCACCTTCGACGTTCGTAATCTAGATGTGGGTTCGGCCATTTAGAGGACAGAGTGCCATAAGTAACGAGATCCACGTTTACCACGTATCTCCCCCCCCCCCCCCCCCCCCACAAAAAAAAAAAAAAACAGCTTCAGTTTGCTATCGTCGGAGCCTTCGAGGCGGATCGGAATTTGTCGCTGCGACGAGCAGCCCATCTCTTCGGAATATCTCACAATTTTGTGAGATAAAACTCCCCTCGAATTATGCAGGACGTCTTGCTCTCTGAATTGGAAGCACTGCACATGCAACGCGAGATATGCATATTTATGCAATATGGTGTGCCACAACACTGAATGAGGAAGGAACGGGCTCAGCACCCAATTGGCCTGTGCACTCGGCGGCTGGGTGGTCACGTCAAGGCCCTGTTTTTGAGCGAAGCAGAGCCCTAGGACTCTGCCTAGGGAAGGCCTGACGACGGTATGTGGCCCCGTTTGACCTTAGGCTTCGCCGCGAGTAGTGTGACATCATCCCGTTGAGTCTTCGGCTTTATTTTATTTTGTTCACTACTTTTAAGAAAGAACCTTTTCAGGCCTGCCAAATATTGCCCTAATGAAAGCTGGCTGTCCTTGACACGGCAGCCAACCCGTATCTCCAGTGCTCATGCAAAACACTTTCTTCGTGCATGCTGTCTCCAATTCTCAGGCATCGCGCCATTTATGATATTTATGATATTTCTGCCAATGACGAAAAAGCTAAATTCTATCGGACGTTTCCTTCATAATGCAGAAATATGCAGAACCAGATTTTATTCAATTAGCGAATACAACATTGTTTTTGGTGAAGAACATACGAAAATCAATGCATTGATACACAGCATGTAAACTAACGCTTTTAATGCAATTTAGACGGCCAGCAAAAATCGGTTTTTCAGCTATCACGCTACAATTTATTACACGGGTGCAAACGCTGAAAAATAAAGAAATGAACTTGGCTCATTCAATAAAAAACAAAGGTCATAATGATCTTCTGGGCAATATATGCCTCCACTTCACAGACAATCTACGCGTAGTGAGAAGGGCTGCAAACGGGGTAAGGTACACCGTGCCACTGCCTATTAGCCCCGAGAGCGAACACAAGCGTCGCTGCGGTCGCCGCGCCCTGATTGGGTGAGGCGTACCGTGACATCAGGGGGAGTACTCCGCTCCGCGACCTCGCATCGGCTCGCTTCCCAGCACCGGTTTCCTGGTCTGGCGTTGTGTGCCGCAAGCTCTTCGAAGCGCTGGACTTCGTTTACCCGGTGTACAGGACGTTGAGTTAGGCTGATATTGACGTGCTTCCGTACATTTTATAAGCCTGCTTGTCTCTTTTACCTTGAAAATTGGGTTACAAATCTTGAAAGCTATCGGCGGAGGCAATTCCGCCGATGAACCTCACCGCCCGTCCACACGACACAAGGCAATCTTGCGAGGGGTCGGTGAAGCGGTGGCGCAAGTGTTTCGGACGCTGGAATTCTGTTCCTTGCATGTTCATGATTTAGGAGAATATTACATCCCGTTTTACAGGCATTTGAAATTGCATTCATATCAAGGGCCTTTGGGTGGTCGGCAAATTAGCTCGGGACTCCGACTTTGCGCTGCCGCTCTGCATACGCTGGTTCGCAGATGTTTTAAAGGCCCTGTGTCTGATCATCTTTGAAGTGCTCATAGAACAGGGTTGCTTTACATAAATGTAGCTTCTTCGTAAATTAATTACATAGTTTATACACGTATGCAAGCATATTTCATAGAAGATGCACAATTATTGGAATTTAGTTTGTATGGTAGCAGCAAAAACGGCCGAATTACCCGCAGTTGCCTGTATGATATGTATTGGACTGCCCAAAATATGCACAGCAAATGTGCCGTAATTTGGAATGTTTACACTTTTTCCTGATACTTTTATTCCAGCTTTGGTTATTCGGAAAATACACCGTTTAGTCTGAATTGTCATTTCCAATTAAAAGAGACACTGCTGCAGGTCTCCAAAAGCTTCCTCAGCCTCCAAACTCCCTACAGCTGTACTCTCTGACAACAGATGAAAACAGGAGTAAAAGCAAGCATTCGAACGCCTGTCCAGTGGTAGTTGCAGCATTAGTAGCACAAAATGTGGAACCCGTGAAGGGCGACATTCTGCGTGAGAAAAGGTTCTGGTATTTTAGCTTCAGGAAAATTCGATTTAACTAAAATCTCAATTTTAGGGCTTAACGAACTAATAACGAGCTAGACACCTTCGCTTACGTTTGTTATACATTACTTGAGGGTTGGTATAAACAAGTCCACAGATATCACCCGTGTAGTCCATTGAAATACTATCCGAATCCAGCAAAGGTCAAATGCGAGCAATGTATGCAATAAATGTTCCTTGTTTTTTTACTTTGCCCCTGCACTTGGGCTGTCTTACTTGTGATTTTGCTCCCGATGGCCCAGACCGTATTTAGCATGTTACCCGAGCGGCATGCAGCTTTTCTGCTTCGGCGAACTTGTTTAAAAACGGAGATACAAAACAAAAAATAGTATACATAACCAGCCAATTCATTCAGACCATCAGCAGCACTTTTTGTGCGAGATGTAAATCTATAGTGATGCTCCTGCAATTGTGGCCATATTTCTTTATTTTCATATACCAGCTCCGATTCATGCGTTGCCTGCCCTGTCAACCATGTTTAAAATGTTGGTTGAAGTTTCGCCTGAAGCTACGGGTCATACCTCAATAAAGGCACATAAAAAAATATTAAACTTCCTACGAAAAACACGCCAAAAAAAATTAAATAGGAACGAGCGCGCCGACAGCTAGCGTCGTCCCAGCCTCCACAGGGCGAGCGGGGCGAGCCGGGGAAAAATTCTCTCCTCGCCGTGACGTCACCCCGGTTCGCCGTAAGGGGGCGCCACGCAAACTTCTCGGGGCTAATAGAGCGGTGGCCGATCCGGGTTCTATTAAGTGATTGACTGCTATCAAATCGGCTGACGTTCTATCTAACGCCGCTGAATGAGAAAGGTAGCGCCATCTTCTCCCCCCTCCTCTGACGCGCACACCTCTTATCTTTATGTTTTGCTTTTTCACACCCGCGCACCGCCTGTAGTGCCGCCTGGATCGGGCCAAGATAGCAGACGGCCTTCCTATACTTGAGTCAGAGCGCAGTCAAAGGCTGAAAAATATGCGCAGGCTAAAAGCGCGCTGTCATATGGTCTACCAGCCTCGAAGGATGGGCTCGAAGAAAGATGATGAAAGCCATGACGTTTCACAGTCGGCGTTATTTGATTGGCGACATGAGCTCATAGCATGCACTGCACTCCGACAGCATAGGCATTCCTTCTCCCTCTTCCTCTGACGCGCACACCTTTCATCCTCATGTTTTGCTATTTTACACTCGCGGTCGACTGTAGCGCCGCCTGCATCTGTCCAAGATAGCAGGCGGCATTCTTCAAAAGATGGCGCTACTTTTCCGTATAAAGGGGCTTTAGTTCTATCGACGCAGAATTCGGCATCTATGGGCAGCTCTTCTTACTACGCCTGTATCGACTGCGAAGGGGCGGCGTAAATTACGACCATCAGTTTTTTTTTATATATATTTTTAACTAGATAGGTTTTTTTATTGTAAATTTTCCCTCTTTGTTTGCAACCTTGTAGTATATCGCAGCGCCATACGCTGACACACCGATTTCTGCGGGCCTTCAAAATGGCATAAAGAGGGCTGATTTACATGCTGTAGAAGTTAATAAAATTACCCAAGGGGAAAAATACCAACATCAAACTGAAAGAGCTCTCAAAACGGGTGGAGCATTTGAGGAATCATGCGACGTACCTGTTGTCCGAACCTATAAACGAAAACCAAAACCAACGACAGCCAAGCTCCGTTTCACTTCGTAAAAGTGGCGCCATCTGAGAGATGCCCTCAAAATCCTTCTCACTCCGACTGCTTCTGCCGCTCGACGGCGTTTTCTCGAGCACGAAATCAGTTTCTGACTTACAGCTTTTCATTCAAATAACGGTAAGTTCTTGAACTTCGACATCTCGTTCCAACCGCTAGTGCTACATTCTGGCGGCGCCTGGGGCTTCGCCAATGCACAGTTTATTTTTAAAATGAAAAATAAAACAGTTAGTGTTTGTTTGTTTGTTTGTTTGTCTGTTCGTTTGTTGTTGTTTTTTTGCGCGTGCCCGGTGTAACATTTGTACTTAGTAGTGAAATTTCAAGCAACCCTGTTGGAATATCATCTACCCTCGCTTTAACAACGAAGAATTGATGCAAAAAATAATACACTCTTTTAGACTTTCAATTGTTGCTCACATAATACCTGCTGCGTATTTTCCTGCGATTCTGAGTTGTTCTTTTTTAGACCATTCAACTTCGGACATTCTCAAAGAATTAACCCCGGTCTTTTTGTACATACACTTATTCATACTTATTTTTGAATAAAGAGCCCGTGCTATTTAAATGATTTTCGCATTTCTGGCAGTTGACACTATCTTACTTTGCTCACTTACCTTAAGCGCAACCCTGGTGTCAATCCTTTTCAGAGATACAAATGCATTCGTCGGTGACGTGAATGGATGCAGCACAATGTTGCCGTCCGCTTGCTGGTGAGATGCGTACTTTGGGTCTTTTGTTTGAACCTAGAAAAAAGTTAAGTGTATCATGAAGTGTTTTAATCGCATTTCCAAACCCACAGAATTTGATAGGTTGAACAACAAATTAAAAAAAAATAATAATAGATTTGGTGCGGTAAATTTTTGCACAAAGTTTAATCTTCACCTCAATAAACAATGCAGCTACTTATTTATATTTTTATTCATAAATTCACGCGCCGTTCTATGTAGAATTTTCGCTTCCCCTGCACTTTGGTGGCAAATGCACGTGTCATTAGTTGATTACGTTAATAGATTTATGGAAAATATCCAGTTTAATTCTTTTCTACTTGTTTTGTGCCACGACTTTATTTGATTTCGGCCGCCAAAAATGCATAAAAGATGACCTAGTTTGCTGCAGTCATTCAGTGTAGCTTTAGAATATAATTCGTAGTAGACTAAAATGTTCTACGAGATTAATCACCACCGAATATTTTATTCATTAATAAAAAAATTTACTGCGTTAAGTTCCAGGCTTAATTTTTAGAAAACATAACAATACTGCAGATATTTTGTTCAGAACTATGCTGCCAATGGCAGAACGTTCTCAGCTAATTTGTAATTTCACGCTGTAGAACTAACATGTATAAAACACAGTCAAACAATTTGATACAAAACTTGTCTCCAGTATTGTTTTAACTTCCTCTTGATGTCATTGAAGTGGAAAGATAAATTACTTTGCTTTGGTAGACAAGAGTGTTGCCTCTTAAAATAAGTTATGAGCACAATTCATAAAGCAGGGCTTTTTGTTTTCTCACCAAAATGTTCAAAATGTAAGGAATATAAATGAACTGGTTAAACATTGTATCCCGATTATTACATTAATCGAATAATTGGAAGGCTAATGAATTAATTTCCCACTCCTACTTCACTAATTAGTAAGTCATATCTACCCAGGGTGAAGCTGAAGATGCTGGCACATGTTCAATTCAATCGCTGCTTTGTTGACGCCAGCTAGCCTGAACTATTATATTTAATACCTCTGCTATAGGGATGTACGCTTGATCAGCGAACGTCATGCATCAAAAACAGTTCTCACCTTAATCTTAAGGGCCGTCTGAAACCTGGACGTCTGGACAGAGAAAGCTACCCTTCCCGTGTTGTCGCTCGTCGACGAGGTTGTGTCCACCAAAACCACTTCTTCTCGGTCGTCGAGGGCCGTCAGTTCGGTAGGAATCCCGATCGCAGGCTTGCCATTCACATGTTTGATCTCCGCCTTGAGAAGAAAATGGTTTCTGTTCAAGTCAGGGTAAACTTTCAGCAAGATTTGTGACAGCCCAAAAATAGTAATATAATTGTTTCTTAGAGCGCAGCTCTTAGGGGCCCGTTCCCGGCTTGAGCGGCGTCGCCGTCGCCGTCGGCGTAACCAAGGTCATCCCAAGGTCACGTGACCCCCAAGGTCACGTGACCCCTCCCAAGGTCATCTCAAGGTCACGTGACCCCACATGACTCCCAAGGTCACGTGACCCCTCGAGGTCACGTGACCCCTCCCAAGGTCATCTCAAGGTCACGTGACCCCAAGACCCCACGTGACCCCCAAGTCACGTGACCCCTCTGAGGTCACGTGACCCCCGAGGTCACGTGGTCTCCCCCCCAAGGTCACGTGCCCCCCAAGGTCACGTGACCCCTCCCAAGGTCATCTCAAGGTCACGTGACCCCAAGGTGACCCCCACGTGACCCCCAGGTCACGTGACCCCTCTGAGGCCACGTGACCCCCCGAGGTCACGTGACCCCCCCTCCCCGAAGTCACGTGACACCCCCCCCCCCCCCCCCCCCGAGGTCACGTGACCGCCCCCCCCGGAGCATATTAAAGAATGAGGGGAGGAGGAGGGGTCTACCCTCCCCTCAGTACCCTTCACTCCTCCTCCTCAAGAGCTGCGCTCCAATTCGGCGTTACAGGGATTTGTAAACGGCTTTCACTTTTTTACACTTCTCTGAACTGTTTAACAAACACCGGTGGGGATAAAGGCACGTTTCAATACACGCAATGATTTTATACATGCAATATCTGCTTCTCCATATTATCACCGCACAGATTTAATCACTTATAATGGTAATATGCGACATTTAGGGCACCCTCATATGAGAAGGTTACCGCCTGGTTTTCAGTCATTCCATCGCGCATTCAACAAGACTTCCCTAATTCCCATCATCATGGACGCATATTCGTCCTCTCTAAAACGCCGCCCACTTTCCTTTGTAAACATTTCGCGCCTGTATTGACGGACGGTGTTGACGTGTGATGGAATTACACTCAGAGCCGAGGTGGTAATATCTACTGAGAATGGCATCCAAAAGCTAGTGCCATGCCATTATAAATGCCTCGTCATTGCAGTGATTCAATGGATAAGTCGCTGTCGTATGTGTCTAAATTTTGTGCTCATTTAGGTTTTGTTTTATTACTTCTTTTGTTCACGAATTCTTCAAGTTCTTCAAATATTGAAAAAAAAAAAAGAGACAGCTCTTGTATAAACAAACACAATATAGTTTAGACTTCAAATTCATGAAGACGGAATACGCTGACTTTTTGTAATCCAATGCTCGATTGGCTTTGCGGCGAAACGCTTGACTAGAGATTCCTTACTGACAAATGGATGTTCCTGTCGAAATTCCCGCAGTTCGAAGAAAGTGCGTTGAGCTTTCAGTTCCAGGTGAAAGATAATCCGAGAAGTGTAAGTCAAGACTCGGTAATTCACCCGACCTTGAATGCGTTTTTATACTTTGTTGGTCATGTTGACACCAAGCTCCTTATATATTGTTTCAAAGTAAAATGACATTGCGACTGAAATGTCACAATCTTTGTGATGAGTATCTTGGAAAATGCAGGTGTTCATATTCCTGCCAAAGGCACTCGGCACTCCATACATTTGCCCAAATGACTGCAATATGCTGGGAGTGCAGTGTTTGCAGACGCAGTCAGCCTACAAGCTTACATGTTTTGTAGGCTACATATTACGTAATACATGTTACGTGAATTACGTAAAAAATCAAGTTGACGGGCGTTGTGTTGGGTAGACACCGAGCTCTGGTGAAAACGAACTGGAAAAAGTCGCCCCGTATACTTCGACCTCCTCGACAATACCGACTGAGGTAATTAGGGCAAGTGCGTTGGGGGGAAATTAAAAGTTAGACCATCAATAGAACATTTCACACTAGCCCGATCATGCTAGCTAGCAAGGACCGGGGGACACGAAATCTCTTGGACTACCATGGAAATGAAGTGTGCGTGGTTGCGCTAGCCTCGCGCACATCAGCCCCACTAACACTTACCAAACAGAGACAGCATGCGGAACACATATGATATGCTTGGTGCGTACAGCAGATCGACGCATTGTGTGCCTCCCCGCTTTTAACGTGAGACGTTCCTTGGCTAGGTGCTTGGCATTTCGTGAAGCCCAGATAACGGCGTGGCCGCAATGCTCGACACTTATTGGTTGACCGGTGGGAGAGGAGGAGTGAGGTGCTTGACACTTATTCGTTAACGCGGAGGTCATGTGACCAAAGGGGTATGAGAGGAGGTGTTAGGTAGGCGAGGAGGAACTCGACCCCCGCTGCGCACTGAGCGACAGCAGTGCGCGAGTATGGAAGGCTCTGAAAGATCGCCAAGTTTATCAGCCCGATTACTAATAGTATGGCTTCATTATAAGAACTATCAAGTGTAAACATGGTATGCGTTAAACTATCAGAAGAAGAGTGCCGTGAACGTAGGTGTCTGGCGTCTGTAAACAGCAAATATCGCTAAACGTTTGTGATCCTCCAACGTTTCTCGTAAACAACACAATTGCCTAGCCTTTTGCCATAATCTACTGTCAACATCATCCAGTTCTTTTTTGCACTTTTTTTTTTAATACGTCTCTTACCACGATCATGGTGCTGGTTCCCGGCTTGAAGTCTTTGGGAGTGCTGCTGAAGGTCACGAGGTACGGGGAGGAAGCGAAAATTGCCGAGTCATCTATAGTTGATTCTCGCTTGCTAGTCGCCTTGTCCAGGACATCGGCTTCGACGACGAACCTGTTTCCTTTCACCAGGGCACCCCACCGTTTGCTGCGCATCATTCTAAACTCCTGCGTCGCGATTCGAAAGCGCCCTTTTCCATCGATGAGCTAGTAAAGGGGTGAAAACCATAGCATCAAACAGATACCAAGTCAATGATGATCTATTTCGAACCCATTTTTTTTATTCATGCAACGCACTTGAAAACGTGATACCGGCCATCTACAAATATCCATTTCTCTCTAAATCCTTGCTTAAAAATTTATGCTTGCCAAGAAATGATAATTCCGTGGAACAACATTGAACGAGTTTGACAGCGGTTGCATCTCACAGTGGCAGACGGCTTTTAGTTAAAGCGTGACACTGTTTTATCATTTTATTAATCATTCTTAAAATAGTAACATATACTACCGTTGCCTTATAAACCAAAAATACTTGTCTGAACAAAAAGGGAAAAGGGCATCCGAGCTGCCCTACATTGAACGTGATTGAAAAAAAGAAAAACTGTGACTGCGTAGATACCGCCTCCTAATACTGCTTGTACCGCTTGCTCGCACTTAGAGTTACGTAGGCTTCCTTATTTAACTGCCAAATCAGGTTTATCACGTCGAAATCAAATACTACATGATACATCTAAGCGCTACAATAGCTTATTTCATGGTTGAATTTTAAAATTAAAAACGTTGCAGAAGGTTCATTTAAATGACATCTGCATGGGGTCATAGAAAACCAAAATGAATTTAACTGCCAAATCAGGTTTATCACGTCGAAATCAAATACTACATGATACATCTAAGCGCTACAATAGCTTATTTCATGGTTGAATTTTAAAATTAAAAACGTTGCAGAAGGTCCATTTAAATGACATCTGCATGGGGTCATAGAAAACCAAAATGAATATGAATACTGACCATATTTGCATTTTGCGTTTAATTCGGTACAAACCCATATATTTACGTTACATATATAAATCTGTAACAGAAATATATACACTCCAAGAAATGCCTGCGCGTCTACTTACCCGCGAAACAATGGAAGAGCCAATCTCTACGATCTACAAATCAGATTAAATACTGATGAGGTGGAACATCTGTTTAGACCTAAAAATGAAGTCTGCCCTGTGGAATTACGCAATGCAAAGCGTCATGCTTGCATTGCGTAATGCCACAGCGCAGACTTAATTTTGAGGTCTAAACAGGTGTTCCTCCTCATCATTCGCTGAGCTGATTTCGTAGCTCGCAGAGATTGACTCTTCGAGTGTTTTGCGGGTTATGTGGACACGTAGGCGTTTCTTAGGGTGTAGGTTTGAACTCCTGTGAATACGGCGCGTCAAATTAACTTAAGGTTTTTTGTGTTTTTTTTTTTGTTTTTTTTGTAATGTCTAGAAAAGATTTTTCTTTTTATTTTTAGTGACTTTGCTATTTGGTCCTTACTTCTTTGAAATTCGTCGACCCAACTTCGGTGTCTTGGTTCGCTTCGTTTCTCAGTCGAAATCTGAAGGCCACAGATCCAACGACTGGCTTGCCATATACGTACCTGATTATACAACAAGCACAGTAATTTTTATCTCGAATGACGTCTACACGTCGCTTTGCACGAACAATATAATCACAATAATGCGGAATTATGCAGTTGTTTCCAACTTACTTCGCCAGAACTTCTCCGTCGATGTATTCCTGGTCGGTTAGAATGACGCTTGGTAAAGTCAGCTCCACAGAAAATGTTGGGAGTACTGTTGAACGAAAAAAAAAGGTTTTACATACATTAGGTTATTAAACTCCTTCTCTGCTTTTCGTTTTTTCTCTCTTTTTTTGTTTCCTTTTAGTAGATTTATTTTAAGCCTAATTACTATTAAGATTTAAATTACAACAACAAACAATATTTTATTTGTGTGTCTGCGCAGGCGTTCTTAGAACGCTTTCTTAAGAAGTGTGATTTTTTTTAAACGCCGCACTTTGCAATGATATCAGTAAACAAAAAGTAAGACCCCATCGTTTCATTTTTGTCTTTCGACGAACCAAGAGCTTTTAAGTGACCCTGACCCGGTCAAATCAGGGCCAAAACCAAGAAGTCATACCGTATTCGTCCAGCGTGAACTTGACTTCCGTCTCCTGAGTTAACTGCAATTGTAAAAGGAAGAAAGCACCATGTTAGCAAATGCAAGGAGTTCGTAGACTATGGGGAAACTGACATGAGCTCCGTGCGTCACGACGGCCTTCCATTCTCCGAGGATAGGCGACTCTGGGAACCGATAGGAATGGCTGAACATGCCCGTCCCGCTGGAGTTGGAAGTTGTGTCCAAAACGGTTTTGTAAGTGACGATGTCCTGGGGGTTCTGTGAAAATTTACATATATAAAAAAGTTGACATTAAGCCATTACGTAAAATATTTGCACTAAAAAAGGTCTGACACGCATTAAAATAGTATCCCTCTAATTTACCCCACAGCACCAATCATTTCAGCCTCTGAAAATGACGGCCTGGTTGGAAATATTCAAGATAAAATGTTAGGTCTGCATTGTAATACTAAGGGTTACATTTGAATGTAAAATTTCACAATCTGTGTTTATGGGATACCTAATTACAACGCACAATTTTCCGTCATTGTTATTTTTAGAGTTCTTCCCTCCGTATATTGAAGCGATTTTTCTCCTGAGTGATTTGCACCAAGCACAGACAAATAGAATGTTTTACAGCTCATTAATTGTAGAAAAGAGCCCTGTGTTAAGCCATTTCTACTGAAATCCCAGCTGGAAGAAAAACTCATTATAAAGTAAATTATATGTTCTCCATCGTTACCTTTATTTCTTTTCTTTTTTTTTTTTAATTCCAAACAGTTAAACAGAGTTTGACTCATACCCTCATTGAAATTTTCTTACTTGCTTCAAAATGCATACCAATGTCTCTAGAATAAAGTAATTCTCACCTTGATTTTCAACTTCACTTGGCCAGTAGTGGGCACGAGGTTTTCTCCAACGGCTACCACTCTAATGTTGACTGCAATGAAGGAACGGATGAAATAAAAATCTACAAATATATTACGTGTAAACGCTGCAGTTTAGTCAATAAAAAATTATTGCTTTTTGATCGCTTCTTTTTCGGGAAAGTTCGAACAAATCCTAAGTTGTTTTAATATTATAAAGTCCGAAGTCGAAAACCGTAGGGCTTTCAACTCAACGGGGGTTCGTTAAAGGGGCCCTGCAACAACTTTTTGACTGGTTTTTAATTTGCACCGAACCTGAGCGCACTGAACGTAGTAACTTAAAGAGACTTTTATTTTCTCAAATTTCGCTTTATTTGCAAAGTTATAGGCAAATTAGAATTACAAAAACACGCAAAAAATAACCTCCTTCATGACGTCGTAGGTGCTGGCTTGACTGGCCGTGAATTAGAGGAGGAGTATACTTCGTTTCAGCTTCGGTCCGAGCGCGGCCGATGTTATGAGCAGAAGGGCCAATCAAACAGCGAAAGAGGCACACCGTCATGGCGTGCTCTCTGCAGTTGATAGGACCAGCCGGTATTCGCCGTCTCTCTCTGCGTGCTCCTCCACCGGCTAGTGTAGAGGCACGACCACATTGGCGTCGCGGAGGCCTGCGGCGCGGCGGTCGGCGCTGCCGTTTGCCGACCCAAACCAGTTTTCGGCTTCAACGGCGCGACGTACGGCGCCGCAGAGTCAACCGCTCCGTGCGCGGTTCAAAGCCGGGCGCCGCGCGCCGCAGAAGAGAGGAGCCAATGGGAAGTGGCGTAGATAGTGACGTCGCGATGCCATGGCAACGCTCTAGCCGGTCCTCGGCTCGTCTTTCACGTTCCGAAGGACGTGTTTCGCGTCGTCTGCTCTTCCTATTTTCCCCCGATGCCTTCCCCAACGGAGCGGTTCCTTGAAACTGTGCGACTGTTTCCCTTTTTATATGACAAGACGCAGCCAGACTACCTAGATAAGGACGCTAAGAACAACCGCTGGGAAATTTTAGGAGAGGAATTTCGGAATTACAAGTGAGTTTCTCCATGGCACTTGTTGCATGTCGTCTCTGTTGTGACGGATGTCGTGTTGATTTGGTGACACTTTCGAAAGTAGCCTTCATCTCTGGCGCGCCGCCGGGGCAGCAAAGCCCCGGCGGCGCGCCAGACCTGTCCTGTCCCGCGGTGTTTCGGTAGAACCAACTCGGCCGGACCCAAAACCTGCGCCTCCTTCCCTTCAGAGCGCGGCGACGTCGCAAGATCAACGAACAGGCTAAGATAATCACATTCACGCTGATCACCAGGTCATTATGGATTCCTACCATGTGTGGCAGCGAGTGCGGAACGGAAGAATGTAACGAAGAGCAGACGACGAAAGAGCGGGAAATCCGACGGGAGGCGCGATCGCGGGAACCAGTGCTGTCACGTGACGCCTGCAAAACGGAGGCCAATGTGGACTCCTCGCGTTGGGACGCCGGACGGCGGTGCCGCCCGGCGGCGCCGCCCGGTGGCGCCGTTCACGGTAGTGTTGCTTAAATGGTAAAACAAAATGGCTAGGTGGCGTAAGCTACCGCCCGATCCAAAGGGCTCAGCCGTATTCATCCATCCATCCATCCATGGTCGGGCCTTAGAGCACGCCATGACGCTGCGCTTTTTGCGGTGTCTGATTGGCCCTTCGGCTCATAGCATCGGCCGCGCTCGGGCCGAAGCTGAAACGAAGTATAGTGAGCTCATCCAGCGCTCACGGCTGCCGCACTCCGTGTCGACGGCTCGAGAGGGCGCCACTAAAGCACTTGTTGGATAGGCTATATGAAGCGGGCGGCCAGGGCGGTTCGCATTGCATTAGCTGCGCGATTAAAGACTAATTCGGCATAACACTTCATTGGCCACAAGCGACAGCAAACACGGGGTAAAGATCAGCTCAGAACGGGAGCCACTTCGCGCTGCCATACAGCTAAATGGCCAAATCGCCAGCGAAGCCCGCGCCGAAAGCGTTCGGAACGCTCGGAACCAGTCGGATCCTCGAGCCGGTATACGACCGCAGCGCCGCCGCGTATACCCGGGACCTTTCTACGCTCGCCCTTAGTCGGAGCCTCATCCCACTAGACATTTCTAGTACTTTATGCGCCGTTTTTTTCCGCCGCTTGGTGGCGGGTTTGTCGACGGGTCTATTCTTGTTTCCGTACTTCATTAACTGCATTTGTTTTCTTTTCTGATCTAAAATACGGAATAAAAACTACTTGCATACATAACTGAAACGATTCGCGACAATTGTATATTGTATTTCGACTAAAAAAAAGCTTTTAGCGGCTCTGACCAGTAGTAAGCCCGGGACCAAAGACGTCACATTTCGCGCGATTTCGGCGACGCGGGTCGCCCTCGTAGGTGGAGGAGGTTTCCGCGTCGTCCGGTTAAAATATGACGCCACTGATATCTAGTTACTCTCTCCGTGCCCGCTGGCTTGCCCGAACCCCAAGAGACGTGGAAACCGCAAAAAAGGTACACGCTTAAATATGATTGCAGAGCCCCTTTAAGTTGGAAAGTGTTTCTATTACATTAGAAGCCATAATTCACTGGTTCTGGAGGAACAAAGTTTGAGCACTATTTTGCGCTGCGCCTTAACTTTCTCTACTAATTAGCAGTGTACGCAATAACCGAAATATTATTTATGTTTTTTTGTTTGTTATTACAGCCTCTAAAAAGAACATCACCGATTGTTTGTCGGCTGTTTCTCACCCGTCTGTTTCGGAGTATAGATGGGCTTGTCCGTCTGCAAAAGGAGGTATCCACCTTTGTCGCTGATGAGCAGGCGGGCTTCTTTCTTGTAAGTATTTCCGCATTCGGCAATCAGAGACACGTACCTCGGTTGGCCCATTGTAACATCTTTTGCGTTGATCTTCTCAGTGTCTAACCGCATTCGAATGACCTGCGATTCCTCTATCGTTGACCATGTAATAAAACAAACGTATTCTTATTTCATATCCAAGGCGTATTAGAAACATGTTTTTATAAGAATGCATCATAGTAAAAAGGTGTGCACATTTCCATTGATCTGGCAGGTTATGGGGCACTCATGAAGATGCAGGCTAATAGTTTGATAGAAGTAATAAATAGAATTCGCATCTGTTCAACATCATTGTTATTTTTTGCCACCGGATATTCTAGAATAGAATTTCTGAGAAATGACACTACTTGACTGGGAGCAGTCATAAAATTGCCGAAGTTCAATTTATTCACAAATTTCGAAAAATAGTTAGGTCCACGGGGTCAGCAGGTGTCACATTTGTTCCACAATAATTGCGAAATACATGACTGCATAATAATGAAAAACAATAATTAATAACAAAGATTTTAAGCAATTCACTTGCAACATTCCGCTATTATACCAATAGTGCTGCGGACTTCAAACTCCGACCAACTGCTGCTTCGTCTTCGTTGGTCGTTTTTGTTTCATTTGTTTTGTAAGCATTAATTTTTTTAATTTTAAAACTGCTATAAATAATTAAGTCTTCGCAGCCTGATTTAACCCCCGCTGCCTTTAAATAATTGCTTAACCTTTAGTGCTGAAATAAAGAAAGTATTTCATAGGTCAAACAGATATTTGTTTGGCCTGCGAGGCATATATATTGAAAATGCTGTTCTTATAAAGCACGTAAGGAGAGGCAGATCATTCGCCAATGATGTTATTTGCTATACCTGGGGTTCACTTGCTGTCGCAATAAAAAGAAAGCTAGAAAGGCAAAGCTAACGTCCTATGTTATTGCGCTAGATATAGTTCGGGGCTGTTTTGGTTTCGGTTTTAGTTTAGATTTTTCTCGAGACACACACGGATTTGCCACAGTTCATCTTTTCCTGCGAGGATCGCGGTTAGGGTGCTGGGTCGCGATCGTCGAGCATGCAGGAATATCAGCCTCTCTTTTCATACGTTTCACCCGTTTTTGCACACAAGCCAAAGCTTTGACCAAAGCCTTACAAGATAAATTTCACCTTGGTCGATCGCGTCAAATTCCGTTTGTCTTGCGACCAACGCAGATGTGCGGCGACGATTTAATAAATGTGAACATCATCGGCACAACAGTCTTGATGCCATGAGCACGCAAACCGTTCTGGGCGAGATATTATGAAATAGGAGCGCGGGCGAGATATAATGTAATAGGAGCACACACGTGACTACGGCGCGAAGTCAAATCGCCTTCAAATCGCGTTCGGTTACGGCTGGCCCTAAGGGAAGTCGGTGGCGCTAAGGGACGTCGGTTGGACATCACAGCTCAGAACACGTATAACGAAAGCTTGCGCTGCAAAACCCACGGACCCTGGGTTTTGCACCCCTGCTTGCTTAAGCCGGTGAGCTCGCCAACCAGCCAATGTACGGAAACCATGGAAACTCCCGGTTTCTTCTGTCTAACTTGTGCATACACGTGGCACACTGATTCGTTCGTTTTAACAACATATGATTGCCAGCCTTCGACAAAACCCTCCTGGGTGAACATAGGGGCGATCTCAGGGAAAGTACCCAAGATACAACCAACCGACTATCGACGATGCACTCCACAGGAGAAAGATGTATAACTAGAAAATGTTCGGCGAGATTATTCTAAGCAAACCCGATGGAACTAAAAGAATAAATGCTCCAAGATTGACATATCCTGACAAATGTTAACGGTAACATTGTGAAATAGAAGCTAAGAAATGCGGTTATTTTACATTTTAGGTGGCTAAGTTACACCCCGCAAAATATTTGGTAGTAGTAGATTCACACGCACAGTGAAACGGTTTCTTTCGTCCCTGTGGCCCTGGTTCCATTGTCACAGAATGTTTACCCCAACCAAGCATAGATGTTACAGCGAAAGAACAGAGTATGAATTTATTCTGGGCAAATAATAAATACAGCGCCCTGTAGAAATTGATAGATATCGATGCCTGGAAAGTTATCTCAGAAATAAGAACAATAGCTAAGCGTCGGTAAATGAGAATCATTTTGCAGTCATTTGACGACATAATTCAACTTTTTTTTTTTTACCAATGCTTTTTGGCTACAGAATTGGCGGCTTTAGAGGACCGAAAAACCTTTAGCTGCATCTGCTTTTCTCGTACACATTGTCAGAGACTGGCGCATGACGTGAGGGCGTACTTGACATAAACTACTTCTCAAACGTGTACATAAAACCTTAAGGTATGTTTACGTTCCAATGTTAAGCACAGCTAATGCAGCGTAGCGCAGCATGCGCGGTGTTTATTGGACTACGAGCATGGCCCTGGGCATCTACTACAAGTCACACTATGCGCTCTGCGATAGAGCAGCACGCGGCCGCGAGTTCCCCTTTACGTTGGAGTATGTTGTATTAGGCTCTACAGCCTTGTTACGAACGAAAAAAAAAAAAGGCCTTGAAAACTACACTAAGGCGGTTTGTGGAGCTGCGTTATACCTCTCGAAGGACATGTTATAGGGCGCTAATTCTCACAATACGCCGACTAATTGACTCAAATATGTGAATTCATTTTTCTTAAACTTAAAAGATAAACATATATTTGTATGAGAAACTTGCTGAGTGTTGTCGAAAACTGCTAAATCAGTTAATTTTAGAAAAACTTGGAGGACGTGCGAAGCACGATTGAGCGACGAAGTTACCACTCGTAATGCAGGAGCGAGGCTAAAGGGCGATTCACACACTTGCGCTGAGTCTGGCCGAGTGCGAGGGTTGCTATAGCAAGAGATGCTTTGGCTCAAAAAAAAAAGTTGCTGTTGGTATAGCAACCCTCGCACTTGGTCGGACTGAGCGCAAGTTTGTGAATCGTCCTTAAAGGGCGATCCACACACTTGCGTTGAATCCTATTCAGTCCGACTTGAACGGCTGCGTCGGTTCCAACAAAACCGGTTTCTACCCGATTTTGTTGGAGCCGACACCGCTGTTGCCGCAGCGACCCGTGCGTCGCGAGTTGTTGCAGCTGCACCCGGTTGGACACCGCGCAAGTGTGTGAATCGCCCTTAGCGATGCGAATGCTCACCCGCGCGGGTTTTCCGTCTCTCATCAACCACGCGTTCTCGCTGCCAGCATTCCGCCTGTTGCCCTAGTGCAAACTTTAGAGCACTACTGCACATCCGACGAGCTCAAACTCCTTTTAAAAATTACTGCTTGGGTGGTTTTCGATCAGCGACGCTGAGCAATCTCTTATATAATAACCATATGTTTATTTGTTTTAATTAAGCAGTTTGTTAACGAATTTTAGGTAATTGTTCAATTTTTGAAGATTACCTCCTTTATTATGCCCCCCTGGCTGTGTAAGCTAAAGCTCAATTGTATAAGCCGTTGTAGTGTAGCTCTCACGGCGTCTTTGAAACAAATCTGTGAAGCCTGATGACACACTGTATTTGAGCCTTCAGTTGCCAAACTGAACAACTACGACGCTGCGAAGTGTTGTTGCTAGTGACACTAAGCGCACCAACATCTCTATATAGTTTCAAACATTTACCCAATATTGTTATTCATCTTATCCCTTTAAAAGAATCGCATTTTCCTGAGAATATAATAAATTTTAAACAAGCATTCAATTTAGTGTTCGGCTCTGTCCGTACCTTACTTGGATTGCACTCGTGTTAAGAAACGTTCGACAGGCTCGAGGACTTGGAAGTTTCAGACATTTTCTGCTGACAACCTGTGGCGTAGTTAGGTATTCAGCACCCGCGGCTCTTAGGCCTTAGGTCGTACGCAGCCCCCCCCCCCCCCCCCCCCCACGTTCACACACACGTGACTGGGACGCCTGGTACCCGGGGCACCCGAATCCTCCCCCGTTACTACGCCACTGCTGACAACACTATCTCATCTAAAACGCACGAGACGCACGTGTGCAGTCATATGATAGGCAGTCGGTTTTTATATCTGCATCTGTAGCACGGGGCGTCAGTTTACCAGAACGTCGGTCCTGGCGCTGCTGAGTGTGTCAGCCAAGGCTTTTGAAAGCGCCTCATGTGTCGAGTGCGAGTTGATTCCAGATAGGGTCGTTCGTCTAAAGAAAATGTGGCCACACAGTACGGCGCTACAAATTTGACGAACAAACGAAACTTGTGGGTTACCATGGGGTACCGGATGCCACCAGTGCATTATAGATAATGGCGTTCGTGTAATCTGAAGAAACCGGAATAGTTGTTGACGTTTGTCAACTCGTAAGAGACCTTCAAACATTAGGGCAGTGGCAAAAAAACGTAATTTTATTAACATTTCTTTTATTACTATAGTCATTTTAGCAGCCACGAAGAAAACGGTTGTTTGAGGAAGTCTAACACTGTGCCAATGCTTATGGCCCTTGAGTGACTTTTTCCTTTGAGTTAGTAAAAGTTTATATTCACTCCAGTAGCATCTATGGTGATTTTTAAAAAAAACAGGGGAAAAAAACAAGGACAAAAAGAAAGGCCCACGGCAGGCGAGCATTCTGCTCCTTGTTATGATACCGAGGGTATCGTTTTGGGCGTGAGTGAACTGGGTTCTGGCAACTTTCGTTTTACGAACAATAAAAATAAACGATCAGTTGTAACTCAGCGCTCATTTTTTATTTATTCGCTATATAAAGCGCTTTTTTTATAATTAAGCAGTATAAAATGACACAGATTTCAACACTTCTGCATTCATGACGCAAATGAACTTGAGACAGGCGTCAAACTATGCCACTAATGAAACCAAGAAGTGATTTCCGTGTTCTTTCTACCGTAGTTTCAGATTTTTAAGAGCGTAGTTGCAAGAAACATGTCTCTTTACACCAAGCGAACAACCTACTACCGTTTCTTTCGAGTTAAACTCACCGGGGCCCAAGCTGACAGTATGCCTGAACAGCGTGTTGAGACGACCAGGGTAGTCTTGCACCAAGAGCGAGACATCCTTCGTAGCGACGCCTCTGTTGAAGACGACCAGCGTCTCTTCGACTCCCAGACGAACGACGTTTGGCGCCGTAACGATGCAGGCGTCCCTGCAAGAGTTCGTGTAACATGAGGGGCCTCTAGCGGGTCCTGTGTCATATCTAACGATATGTTGATGGACGGTGAGTTGGAGGTTACATCAAGGCGGAAGGTCAGCCAGAAGTGTGTCAGAACAAAGAAGTGAGGTCACTACCGTCCGAAGGACGTCGTCTGATATTTTCCTAAGAACTCGCGCGTCGTGGAGTGCTTTCGAGGAGATGGTGATTCAATAGGCGTTTTCAAAAAAGTTTTCTTTTGCTTTTGTTTGGAACAGGGTACCTGGTGTATATTCCAAATGTTCGCTTCCAAGTGGGGTAAACCTTATTTCCGCCACTGAGAAAAAAACAAATTCGATTATTTCGGTATTTTTTTAGGATTTGTTTGTTTGTTTTTTATTGTAGAAGTTCTGCCATCAAATTCTGGTGCTTCTAGAAGCACATTGCTCCAAGATATTGTCAATGTTGCTAGAACTTCCTTAAAAAAATTGTGACAAAACTTAAAACAATTGACATTTCAAAGAAGAAAGGGCGATCAGAGCATTGGCAGCTTAATATCGATATATGTTAAAACAGCCAGTCGAATGATCACACGCTGCGTACTAGCACGCTCCGTAGACTAACAAAACCGAGGCACTCGGGAATGTCTTTTTTTTCTTCTAGTGTTATTGAAACAAACGCGTCAAACATAAACGAGAAGTAGTTTTTTATGTTTTTTTTTTTATTCGAGTTGCTTTTGCGGCACGGCTACAGGGGGGCACAGAATGAATATTCTGTGCCATGAGCTGGCGCTAGAAGCTCGTGCTTTGGTTGAAGGGACACTGACACTCCCCAATTTGGTTTTAATATTATTTTTTGCCAGTTGATTTAATATGGTGTCCGAAGGCTACCCAATAAACATTTTGCTATTGCGTCACGTGTATATTTAATAAAGTAAAAAAAAACGCAACCGCTGGAAACCGAAACCGAAACTGGACTGTGAGGAAGAAGAAACATAGAGGCCTCAAGAGAGTTGGCGGAGGTCACGTGGCTGTGCAACCTTTTTCTTCTCCAATCAAAAAGCTGCAATCAACGTAATTGCAGCTTTTTAAAAATCACAAGAAATAATGGGTATCGTGTTTCTTTTCTATTTTTATTATTCTCTGTATGTTTTCGATGACCCAAGACTCTGATTAGTTCTAGTGGTAGTGTCTAAACCATAGTAAACGGCTCGTGAACACGGAAAAGAGTGTAAGCGCAACTCAAAACAGCCAATTCTAGATCGTCGGCTTTCGGGTAAAAAGCAAACGAATTTCGAGCCTCGAATATTTTTCTGGGTAGTTAGGCTCTCATGTGTCATGTAAAAATAAAAACATTGGCGAGCATAAATACCCTGTCAGTGTCCCTTTCAAAGACGGGACAAAATTGAAATTGTGTCGTGAATCGATTTTTTTTCCGCTTGTTTTAGCAACAGCATGATACGCGAAGAAGGGTACATCTGATGAGCATTGTATAATTAAATATATATGCATATAATACATCGAGACTGAAACACATGCTTTACTACACCTTTACTAGACTGACCCCCCCCCCCCCCCCCTCCACTTCAGGCTCACGCCCTGAAAAATACATTGACATGATGTTTTGAATGATCGCTCGCAGTTATGATTCGTTGTATAGCCGCATATTCTACGAATGACGACAAATGATATACTTCATATTAAGTAAAAAACAAAATTTGGGGCGGCAATTGGTGGCACTTTGTTCTTTACTTTTTTTAACTGGTATGCAGTAACATTATCCTGCTAAACAAGGCCGTAGTTCTTCCTTTTCAGCGTCACCTAACGAAGGCCGTCGCGGGGCAAGGGTGAGACACGAGTGCCGCGTCAGAGTTTATCCGAGACTCCTGTCCAATCGGCGACAGCATAAGTCTCACCCCAACGCCAAGTGTCCAATGGGTGTCCTCCATTGGCCTTTTATGGGTGACGCCGCCCTTCTATCTAGAAAAAGATGTATGCCGCGACCACAAAAAAAAAAAAAAAAAGAAGGGACACGGGGTAAAGAAACACGGAGATATTTCATATTCCAGATGAGCCCTTTTAAGGTTCTGTAGACGTGATGGCTGCGGCCTTTCTGAGAACTCGTTGAACTTGTCATTTACTTTGAGGACCTTCCCTTTTTTACCTAAAAATAACGCGTTTTGACTGGCCAGGAACACAACACTTAAAGATTCCCGAGAGTGGCTGAGTCACTTAGGTGGTACTGGATGGTACCGTAGTATCTCACGACGGTTGCGTCGTCAACAACTTTACCTTCAGTTCAGTTGGAATGAGTCACGCCTTTCGACCAGTGACGAACAAGACAAGTAACCTCATCCTTTGCGCGAGATTTTCTTTTCTTGGAAAGTTGGTCGTACAGGTGGCCGTGTGGGCGATGTTATACTAACTCAATGCAATTCACCGCTGTCCTGCTGAAGTTAAAACAAAATTCTCGCACCAGCATGTCTAAGAAAAAAAAAAGCAATTGTCAATAGAGCGTGCGGTGTCACGTACTACGACATTCTTCCACCAAGCGCGACGGGTTGGTTTCCTGTCTATGAAGCTATATGGTTTTAACGCCTCGTCGAGTCATCGCCAAGCATTTGCAGCCGTCACTAGCAAGCTTCACAAGGACAACCGGTACACGCCAAAAAAGGTCATGGAGAAATTAAAAACGATTTCGGATGACTGTGGAGACGTGAGAATTCTCGAGCTTACTCGCCAATGCAGTTTATAACATCCCTAGGCGTCAAACAATATACTCACTGCAAAAAAAAAAAAAAAAAAAAAACTTATGTAAAAAAAAAATAATTAGACCAAGATGTTTTTGAAGCCGAACGGCTTTTAGCTGTTTAGATAGACGACATTTTCCTGTTTTGTTTTTTGCTGAGTTTGTTGGAGACACAGAAGGTTGTCTACTTTAACCTTTCCGCTTTGGCTGCTATATTTATCTGCTTGTCCAACTTCCTCTTATCGTAAGCTAGCTGCTTCGAGCTTAAGGACACGTGTTTCCGTATATGACCAGCTATTTTGGAGTGCACAACCCTCACAAAACCTGAAACTTTAGCTGTTTCGGAGGCAACAAAATAGATTAATAGAGTAAACGATTTAATTTTCGCGTGCTCAAACTTCGCGAATTGGCCCATAGCTGAAATTTCGCAATTATTCGCGGGTTCTAATTTTCGCGAATCGAGTGTAGCTTCCGTAGCGTTCACATATTGCCCGAATTGTTCACGGGACGTATTTTTCGCGAATCGTAGGCAATTCGCGAAATTCACGAAAATTGGGTCCTCGCGAAAATTTAGTCATTTGCAGTATTCTAAGAGTACAGCCAAAAAGGTTATCTATGTCATATCTTGCTTTTCAAAAACTCTGTTCCACCACTCCGGTATAGCTTGTACCGATTAAACTTTAGATATATTACAAAGGGGCCCACTCAATGTAATATCTCAAAATTTAAAAAAAAAATGTGTTGTTAACATGTACGCCGCTTTGTTGTGACAGATTGAACAAGAAATTATCTGCTGACCACACGTGAATTGAAAGGCATAATTTATAGGTGAATAAACGATAACGACCAAAGCCGTCATTTTAATTTGAATGAATTCAAATTTCACGGATGACTGCAGGGATTTTATTAGAACAAGAGTAGTTATATACAATCATAACTACCACTTGCCCATACCATGAACCAATAATAAGGTAAAAGGTCACTACCTGCATACCTCTCGGACACCACAAGAGAATTGCCGCAATAAGACGAACTAAGAGTATCGTTCTTTTTGCTGTGAAATTACAAAAGATAGTGAAATCTATATTATTTTTTTGTTGTTGTACAAGTTGATCTTTTTTACCTTATCGTAGCTACCCCGGTTCCCAACAATGCCTGGAGTGTGAAATCCTAATATCGCTCGTTCATCGAACCCAGGCGTGTGTCACTGATCTAGTCGCAATAAAAAAATTATTAATATCACCCCCAGCTTTCTTGTTCATGCGCTCCTTGCGCCCTCCCTCGACTCCTCTTCGTAAAACGTTGTAAAAGATTAATTCCAGGCAAAACAAATGCGTATGTCGTGATATTTCCCCGCATACCAAGAGACAGCAATAATAAGAGAATAATCAATGTAAATTCCAATTATACGGATGTGTACTTTTTGTTCCTAGGCCAGACAATTTGTATTCAATTGAGTAATTTGGACTCGCTTTGCGATACCTCGAATATCTTTCCACCACAATGAAGAAACATAATATTACCGGGGATTGTAATAGCCTGAGGCTCACATCACGGATCTACATTAAAATATTACAATTAGCGTGAATAGGTTTTGCTGCTCATGACCTGTTCCTGCATTAGCCCATATAACGTTTCTTTTTCTGGGCCTACCTGGCGGTCAATTGTTGATAGCATGAAGTTTTTTTTTTTTTTTGTTTTGTTTTTGTTTCGAAACGTGACGGTATTTAATTGTTCCCCACAGATTGGACACCTGTACTGCGGGAGCACTTGATTTGTGCTCCAGACAATCAATGCCTCGACGGACATTCAGAAAGTGACTCGCGTTCAATTGCTGCAATCACTGATATTTCTGAATCGTAAGATTTTGCGTATCTTAGCACATGCACTTTAATAGCCTCCTCAATACTGACAAAGCCTGACAGATCGCCACGAGACGCGGCCGCCGAAATAGAAAAGGTGGAGCGGCAGACAACGCATGAGAGGAGAGCCATGTGACTGGCGCCTCGCTCCGGCGAGACGCCGAAACACACTTCTCTCGAGCGAACAAGTGTGTTTCGGGTCCTCGCCGCTGCAAAAGCTGTGCGCTGACGTCAAGGGTCCCCGAGAAAGGGCTCTTTGATGCTCTGTGCTACCAGATCCTCGCGCTCCGAATCTGCGACCGGGGTTTTGGGAGTATAGATTAGGCTACGGCACTGTGATTCGCCAACCCCAGAGTGAGTCACCGTGGATGGGGTTTGATGTACATTGCCGGAATATGATCGGCA